AAAGTGCTGCTAAAGGCTTTCTCAAACGAAAGAAATATTGCATATTTCACTATCCGGCAGACAGAACGAAAAGTTTATACAACAAAATGATAAGTAAATGATGCAATGTATACAAACACACACCTGTCTATGAGAAATTAAGAAAGAAATCCATCTTGAATCTCTAAAGAATTGATCTTTAAAGTTCCTTGCACTTTAAAATTCAATTAAACTTGAGTCCTCGGACTTTTTCTTTCGATTCCTTATAAGAATTTACCCAGGATGCCTTTTAAGAATTTGCGAGCTATTTAAGTATGTATTCAGGCTCATAGCTGAAAATTTTCGACAACATCAAGGCTGAACAATCGTTAGTCGTTCTTTAAGGAGTAGCGAGTAACAAAACATGTGCTTGGCACAAGCATGCTTGCACAAGCTTTAAAACCTTTTTGATTTTATAATAACATAAATTGCATTGCCTACGTTGGTGTAACTTATTAAGCATTGCAAGGATTTCTTGCCATTTTACACTGCAACATCAGAACATATACAAGCAGGGCCAACGACCAGTACCAAGAAAGTAAACAGAAGTGATTAAGATTTTGATAAATTAAGGGCATACTTGAATCCTATTTGCTTCTTATCATGCTACGTGCATTATTCTCAAATGAATCATTGTTATGATTAAGTGTCTTTAGTTTCTGGAAAGACCAGCCAGCTGCCTGATAGAAAACGTCACACCGTCATTAATATAACAAAGGACTTTCGGATAGGAGTGAATGGTGTTTAATATATAAGAATATAATCTTATAACTGGTAGTAAATTCAAGAGAAGCAATTATTTGCGGGGCAAAACAAGCAAAAGCAAGCATATATATTAAAAAGTAGCTGGTACTTTTCAAAAGACAATTCCAAGATAGGGTACCCATAACAGAAAATTTGTGTCATGCAACTTGGTGAAATTGAAGTAAATCCTCGAATTGGCCCCTCCCTTCCAAAATTCCCCCGCTCGAAAAAGCCCCCACCCTAGAACTACAAATTGTCAATAAGTCCCCCCCCCTCGAATAAGCCCACACTGCTACCGTAAATTTTCGAATTGGACCCTTCAATTTGATGATTGATTTTTGCCATCTGCGGTTGCCTATGGCGTTTTATTGAATTACCACAACAAATTCATACTTTTGGTACTAATTAATTAAATGCTCATAAAAAAATTCTACTAAAATAAACGAGGTCTTTTAATAATGTCTTTTTAATGTCTACAATAATTTTATAAGCCTCCCCCCCTCGAATAAGCCCCCATCCAAAAATCTCAGAGACAAATTAGCCCCCAGGGGGCTAATTCGAGGATTTATGGTATTGTATATAAGGGCCAATCTGAGCAGCTAATTTTTGAATGACATCTAATCAGCGAAGCCAAAAGTATAAGAAACACTTTTGTAAGGGACCAGATAAGAACCCATTTTTTGCTGAGGCTTGATGTTCTTATTTTCTGGGTAATTTGGGGCTCGTGTTTTTAATGTTGATTTTATTTCAACTACAAATAACTTATTTTGATCCTTCTATATTGACACACTACAAATTGTTTCTAAGACCTCTAAAAATAGTTTTGCTTGTTACTTTTAGTAAAACGGTCTTAAACTGATAAAATCTCCTCTGTTTTGTTTAAACGAGGGAAAATTTTCAGCCTCGCTTGCTTTTATTTTCGTTTGTCGCTTTTGACAAATTATGTTTGAAATCATATTTACTAGATTTATTTAGCAGTGGAGTAAAAGAAAAATACCTAAAGATTATTTGTGATTTGAACAAAGAAAGCAGCGTACGAATGAATACACCGTGTGGAATAACTCAGACATTGAAATAGGTGAGAATCTTAAACAAGGCACCATATTAGTAGCAGGGGTGTAGAGCTAGGGGGGGCTCATAGGGGCTGAGCCCCCCTTGTTAATGCCTAAAATTGGCAAATTTCTACTTTTGTTATTGTTTTTTGCAACATTTTGTGCAAGAGCCCCCCTTATTATTTTGATAGCACTACACCACTGATAAGCAGCCCCGATATGTGCAAATTACATTGATAAAGGAATAGAACTTATATTAAAAAAGAGACTAGGAATACGATATGGAAGGATGGCTATCCCACGACTATTGTATCAAGATGATATTATGTTTGCATCTATTTCAGTAAAGAAAATGCAACAAATGTTGAATATAGCAGAAGAATTTCAAAACCAATGTCTACTAAACTTTAACCTTTATAAGAGTGGAAGAATGAAAATGAATTTTAAAAACAAACAGAATAAAGACCAAGGTAAGAAACTAGAGCTAAATGAGGCAACCCTAAAAGAGGCGAGCAAAAAAAACACTTAGGAGATATAAAGAATAAGTGAGGGACAGTAGAGGAATGCATTAATAGCAGGAAAAATTCATCAAAGGCAATCATTAATGAAATCAAATTCTTAATCAGCCAACCAGCATTAACAAAACAAAGCATGGAAATAAGCATAACATTGATTGAAAGTGACTAATCCCTAAAATCTTATATGGGTATGAAACATGGACTAATATGAACAAAAAAATCTTAAAAATCTTTGAAAATATACAAAAAGATGCGATAACCCTAACCACTTCGAAAACCAAAATCAACACCCTATCAAGGCTTACTATATGAATGTGGACTTATGCCAATGGTTTATCGAATAAAACTATTGTATCTACATAAACTGATAAACATGAAAGAAACACGTTTAAGAAAACAAGCACACCAAGAACAAAAGCACCTTAACCTAAAAAATTGCTGGTATGATGAAGTAATGAATGACTTGATTGAACTAAATATACAATTCTCAGAAAAACAAATTTATCAAAGAAAGATTGGAAAAAAATAGTAAAAGGCAAAATCATAAAGAGGATAGAGCAGCAAGTTAAGAATAGCGATAAAACAAAGATGAGGTTCATTAGAAAAGGCAATTTTGGAATAAAAGAATATATGAAACATAAAAAAGGACCAACGTTGCTAAAATTGAAACTACACATAACCAATTAAAAAGCTAATTACCAGAACTGCCAAGTTTCAGTTTTGAAAATGAGTGAGTTTTGAGAAAAGCAGGGGGCAATGTCGGCGTCGAGGTGGTAAAATGGGCGTGACCTAATATTTTTTGCTAATCCCCCCCCCCCCTGACCTTAGTGGCTGGTGCTGCAACTGGCACGGGGATGGTTGAACAGTTATGGAATTTCAAGGCACACACGAAAGAAAATTTCCAATTTTCAAACACAAAACAGTTACATGTTTATATGTTCAAGAACCTAACAGAGTGACCCTAATAATACAGTACTAAAGCCAAAATGTACAGCCAAATCAGTAGATTAGAATGACTTAAAATTAGAATTGCTTCATTATTTCTAATATGTTCATCCAGTGTCACTTTTTTGTAAATGATTTTTGTTATAGTTCCATGTAGCACATTTTGATTTCTTTAGCAGTTCACTAGAGGGTTTGAACTTGACAGCATTGGCATTTGCAAGCTTGACAGGAAGAATTGAGGACAGAGTACCCTCCATTGATAAACTTGAACGGAATGGTGTTTTATTTTTTCTAACCATGCTAAAGTCCCTCTCTTCCCCAGCGTTGGAATGAGGCAGTACCAAGACAACTTTGGCTACTGAGGTCATCACTTCACAACAGTCTCGTGTGTACAGTCTCGAAGCCTTTTGTTTAAATTGCCCCTTTGGTAGCAAGTTAGCACTTCCCTTTGTCCCACTGAGTAAATACCTTATAGGCCGGGTCCGCTTTGCTGTGTTCGCCAATCTACTGGGAGTCATTTTCCGTCCCGTAGCCAAACCTTTTTAGAAACAAAGGTTTAGGCTGGAGTTTGAAAAACAAAATGAAAAATTTGAAGACACCAAAAAATTTTAGTAGAATGCGTGAGAGTTCTCCATTGATGCGTGTGAGCGTGAGTTCAGGGCGAAATGCGCGTGTCTCACGCAAAATGCGTGAGACTTGGATGGTCTGAATTACAAAGGAAAATATGATAATATAAGTTGCAGAAGGTGTGGATTACATGAAGAAAATAGAACACTTATGGCAAAACGAAAAATTCAAAAGACATCTTACGGAAATGGAACAAATTCTCAAAAGCAACGCAAAAAGCCTGATAGAAGTCAAGAGGTTGGTTAAACTTTTTCAAACTTAAGTGAAAATTGTGCCCTTTTTGTGTGTTGTCTGGAAAAAGGGCTTTTCCATTTACAAACAAACTAGTGCCCAGTGCCCTAAGGCATAGGGTAAATCGGAAATAATTTTAGTTATACATTGTGATATAGTTTTATTAATTTGTTTTGAAGTTCATCATAACAAAACAGAAATGATATAAATGAAGTTAATTGTGAAAATTGAAGGAAAGAAAAGAGCAGGAAAGGGGTGAGCGGCAATTAACAAATTAGGATACTTGTTTTGGGTGGAAAAAAGGTTGATTGTAAGTCGATGGTAACCAATTTTGAAAGCTAAAGCTTATTTTCTTCAGCGAAATAGCTTTGAAAGAGCCTAAAGCTAAACATGATCGTCACCAACGGTCCAAAGGGGTCCATGGGGGGCCTTGGGTTTCACAACCCCGCGTTTTCACAATATCAGACATTCTAGTTGAATTGAATAGATTCTGGCCCGCATTTTCAACGTTCCGCGACACATGGGCAGGTTGTGGTAAACAAAGTTGTTTACGATTTTCACTCCGGCGATCGACACAAAACATTTCCTCTCAGAACAAAAGATCAAAAAGTCTCAACGATATTGTTATTGTTGGAAAGCTCGTAATTGCCCATTCCTCGCCGCCATTGTGTTTATTTGCCAAGGACACTCGTCGTAAACAAGTACTTGACTAGGAAGATTCGTTCAAGGGAGAAATTGATGCGAATGTTCATTAAAAGATGTCTGATTTAGTCAAGTGTGGCTACATGGAGATGAAATTGCCCCGAAAGCATCGAAAGTTCGGGCTCAAGGTGAGCATGATGCTGCATACATTGTCTTACAAGCATATGTCTCAGTTCTAGGTTATTTAAATGACTTGAAGCATATGAAAGAATGAATGAGGATTTTGGGGCCTAGGACGAACATACATATCGAAGGTCTCGAAACGACATAGAAACTTCAGCTTAATTAACTTGCAATGTTAGCATTGCGTTTGATACTATACGCTCAGTTTGATAACCCGAGTTGATGAGGATATAGATACTGGATGTTTCTGAGATTTCAAAATATAATTTTGTTGCTTAGCAAAGAAGCTTTGCACCTTTGCGTTAGACACAGAAGTTCATGGTTGAGTTTTCAACTTGAAATTTTTAGCCATAGAGATAGGATGGAGTAGAGCGCTCCTTTTTTAATCAAAAGATGTTATTTCCCCCTTTTTTCTACCCTTAGCTCTAATGCCATGGTGCTAGATTAATTGCTAGAACTAAGTTTCAACTGCCCTGTAGTTACCACGCGATATGCAGTTTTCTGACAGTTCAACAAAAGTGAGTGTGTTTATAATTTAATGCACTCTCTGACTTGACAAATGTTGCAGCTGATACACCATCTGCTACTGCAAGCAGTGCTAATTTCCGATCAGCTTTCTGAAGACATTCTTGATATGTTTTTTAGCCATATTTGATTTTTTTTATTTGAAATTGTGAATCAATGATTTTTATCATTTTCGCCTTTCCCGTCAAAAACTTTCGCCTCCAGAGTTTCTGCATATGAAATAAAATCTTCTTACCTTTTGATCTGAAACTTTTTTTCTTCAGTGTTTTATTTTTCGTCTTTTCTGTACCTTGCAGGATAAATTGAAATTAAATTGGTTCTTTTTTGGTTAACAACTGCAAAACCATTAGGTACTAGTCTATGTAAAAATAAGGCTTTGCAAAACTTGTTGGAAATTGTATTTGAGTTGGAAGCAGCAAAGCAAAATTATACCGATTTTGTCATTTGTTTGTTGAGACACAAGAAATTTGTCATTTATGTGATGGGTGCAAAATGTTGTTTAAACTTTGTTCTCTTGAAGTTCTCCAAGAAACTGGAAGCTTTTATACTCTTAATCAGTGAAAACTTCAAACACTTGTTGAAAACCAGTGCATGGCCAGTATCTCCATTTGGAACTGCCATTTGGCAAACTTTTCTTTTAATTTGATGTTATTTATTCAAATTCAAATCATGTCAAATTATGGACTGATGGCAATGATTTAAATATTTTTGACATAATTCCTAAATACAAACCTTGTTTGCATACTTAATACAATGGAAGAAACACAATATGAGACTAGCAAAAAAGCTCTTATCAAAATCTAGAGGCGTTGTTGGTAATATTATGAAGACTTATCAATTTCCAAAACACATCCTCAGCTCCCCAAAAATCATTTTCGAATTATTGTTGTAAATGGCACAGCCTTTTGAAATAACCAATTTTTCAGATAAACATTTTTGAAAACACTGTAATTTAACTTGCAATATATTTTTGATATTAAATTTGCAGTTTTGTTTTGCTTTTATTTATTTAACTTTAATAGTCTTCTTTAACTTTAATAAGTATAACTTTAATAGTGTTTAAAATTATTGTACATGCTGAAATGTTGGTAGATCCTGTGTAGCTTAAATTTCTCAATAAAATTAAATTAGTTTACCAGTAGATGCTGAAACGAAGTTGGGTTTTCTCAAATGTATCTCAAATTTGTTTCCAGGAAACACAATAACTCATAGAAAATAATGTCCCATGATGCATTTAATTGTTTTAATCGTCACTGTCCCTTCTTTAACAAATTTATTGTTTGAAGCCAGCAATTTCCCAGAGCATCAAAAGCATACAGATATTGAAATGTAAAAGGATCTGAAATAATTTTCATAAAGCAAACAATTTTACATCATTGCCACCAATTTCAATTTTTTTTACTAAATTTATGCTTACAAAGAATCCCTGAAATCTACCAGCCACCGAATTTCTTGCCCAGAGCCAAACATTAATGACCTGAGCTTCATTTCAAAATGGTAATAAGGGGACAGTCAGGGGGAAAACCAAAAAATTTTTGGAGGGGTATACAATTGTTGCAAAAAGGGTTAATGGGTGAGTACCGAAATTTCTTTATTTGCCCAGAAAAGATCCTTAATGTGCCAATGGATTAAGTGTTTAGGGGCTACCACACCCTCCGTACCCCCACTTTTTGGCGACGCCCTTGAGTACAGTGGACTCCGGTTATAGTCACACCAAAAGTTACTTGATAACTGTAAACGGAGTGTGACTGTAAACGGAGCTAAATTGAATAGTTTGCATATTTGGGTCTAAATTTTTCTGCATTGTAACCAGTATGTGACTCTAGCCGGAGTGACTTTAAGGGAGTGAATGTATGCGGAGTCGGCTGAATTTCAAAAGTCACAGTTCCTCCGTTCGTGCGTCTAGCACTCGTGTAAACAAAAAGTCACTAGGCACAATATTGTTACTTTATCCACACCTTAACCGTGAGGTTATTGCTTGTTATTACATATACACTACGCTTTTTGCCTTGGCAACCTCCCTATTCAAATTCAAACAAAAACTAAGAATCAAGGGCATATGTGTTTCGTTTTCACTTATTTGAAAGATTCTACTATGGATCTGCAAAATCTTTTATTTTTTGCTTCACAACACAAACATTTCCAATGCAATTCACCTCACGTTTAGCCTTTTGTGTTGCCTCCAACTACAACTGTGTACATCAAAACATTTTTTCAGCGTTTGCAGCTCGCTCCTTTGTAAAACCCGGACTGTTGATTACCGGATACTGTTCCTTCTGAAAGGCCTCTGTATTTATATAAAGGCGTCTAGGGAATAATCATAAAAGTGAATACCTCATTTCTAGCTAAGTACTTCCAGGCAGGTTCACAGAGTCAGGGCCTCAAAACAGAAGTGTAGAGCCCAAAAATGCAGGGGGGGGGGGGAGAATAGCGCTTTCTCTAAATTGTATACAAAATTAGCGTTTCAGTTTGCATGGCTGCATCAATTTCTTTACCTTTCCGTTTTTCTAGGGTTAAAACCATCTTTCAATGTCTACCTGTTATTTGATTAGAAAAATCTTAAAAATAAAGAATTTATAGTAGTAAAATCCATTTACTGGATTTCCAGTTATCAAGAGGGCTATTGAGGTCACACACACACGTGAATGCAAATGTCGAAAGGTAGTATTGTTTCAATCAAAGATTTGATCCTGGTAGAAATCAGCCATTATATTTTAGAATTACCCAGAAAAAAAGGAAGGGCCTTGCCCCCTTTTGAAAAGGAGAAGGAGTCTTGCCTTGAGAAGGGGCCTTGCCCCCCTCTCAGCCTCCCTCTTTCACAGCCCTGCCTCAAAACCTGTGGTTTACGAAAAGGTGTTCAGGGGGTCCATCCCCTGGTCAACGTCAAAAGCTAACAAATTTTTACTTTTTGCTATTGTTCTTTTGCGAGAGGACCTCCGTCCCATTTGTTTTTTTATAGCCCTACACTCCTACGCGAAAAAACTATCGAGATTCCTTTACTTGTGTGGTATTATCATTAGCATTATCATTAAGGATTTAATCGGGTAAAGTACATTATTGGTAGTTTAAATAAGAATAGTTAGTATAATAGAATAGAATAATAGAATAGTAAGAATAGTTAAAACTTATTTTACACGCCAGTAAAAGTGCGAGGGATTCGCTCCATATCCTAAACTCAGAATTCTCTATTTTTGTCGTTTCTCTTGTTAGGTTTGGAGACAAAAGTGGTTCACTCTCAGGCGCAAGTCCGGACTCAAACAACATCGTTTGGAGTACCATAAAAGTGAAGATTCTTGCCTTCGCGGAAAACACACAACCATTATACCACTACAAACTTTAATAGACGTTTCAATATCAACCTCAAAGACGCATGAAAATGTTTTTAGGCTCGCGTTTAGTGATGGAATTAAGTGGCTGTTTTTTGCTACCCACAATGAGAGTGAAATGAAAGAGTGGATACGAATCATCCGAAAATTGATTGTACCAGAGCCAAGGGTCCTGCCTCCGTTGCAAGGAACATGCCCTGAAGGTTTGACATTTGTTTTTCTCGTCTTGTTTTCTGGAAATCGTTCTGCCAACTGTTTGTAAACATTGGCTAGAAGCCTGTTCTGAGGTACGGAGAACTGATAAGCATTTGATTGAGGTTTCATTATCAGTCCAAGGTGTTCAGAAATCGAAAACCCGAACTTAGAAGATCGTGGGAATTATCTTTGATATAAACATGTTTTTCAACGAAATTATCAATGCTTGGGTTCCTCACGATTATTTTCCAGCTTTATTTGTACCGGCGAAGGGTTATCTTATTTGGAAGAATAGGAAATAATTCTTTGAAGCTTCAAGGTTTGATGAAGCCTAATTAATTCATAGAGGCGAATATGGATCATTATCTGCTATCCTATGTCACCTGAGAATATCGTTCTGAAATTTACTATTTGATTCATTAACGTTCTTAATTTTGGCAAGAGTTTTTTGAAAATGATTCTGTATGCAGTTTTGCTCTAAGAAGACTTTTTTACAGAATATTCCAGGCGGGGCAGGTGGGCTAGGAGGGCTGGGAGGGGGGAGGCTTTAGCCTACTTTTGCAAAAATGAAAAATATGAAGTGATGAATTGCCAGTAAAGTCTTTTTTGCATAATTGATAATTAACAAACTTTTCATTTCATGCAAGGTTTATTCTACCACAAAAATGTCGTCTTATCGTCAAAAACAAAACCAAAGCACACAATCGTAATTTTCTCTGACTCCAAAACCGTTCATTTATTCCTACATTTACTCATTTTTTAAACATTATCCATGACTTTATTAAACAAACTTCCTTATTTCCTTTTCTAGGTTTGTTCTCGGTTACAATCGTTTGCACAGAAGATTCAGAGAGCCTTTCATTAGCTGGCGACTATTTTCTCTCTGTTTCCCCTGAACATTTAAAATTATATAAAAAAGACGAAGTTCGAAATTTGCGAATTCAGTGGCATTTGGAGGACATTCCGAGGTTTAGGTTGCAAAGGCTGTGTCACTTACACGATGGAGAAAAAATATTCATAATTAATGTAGCAAGGTAAATATTGCTATCAAATATTTCGATAATTCTTAAACGAACCAAATTGTTACGTAGCTTTTCGTTAGTTAATCTTGAAATTGGAGGTATTCTCTGGAAGCACAGAAAAACAGTTTTTAGTATGGCCCTGCTGTGACAATGCATTCGTCTAACTGGCCTATTTCTCGTAACATTGAATACTCGGAGACTGTATTCTGTACTTTGCGTATGATACCAGATGTTGCCCTTTTCCTGTAATCTTGAAACCCATAATGATTTATCCTAAGTAGTTTATTTATCAGGGAACATAAATGCAGTAAACTAAACTTAATACACAATGCTTTCCAAAGTTACTTGGAGCACCCAACTTATTGAATATTTCAATTTTTTTCTAAATTTTTAAGCATTTTCTGGGAGGTTTCACATGCTTTTGTCAAACGCTCTCCACCTGCGACCAGTGGCGGCGCCAGCTACTGCCGAGTGGGAGGGTAATGGGCGTGGCCAGTGAGACCACGCCCTAATCGCCTCGTCTCAGTGCTTTGTACCAGGTCAAATTTCCTTAGGAAATATGATCTTCCTCTACCTAGTGCTTTTTAACCTGTTTTTAGACGAAATATGTAGACCATGTTTCGGAAAAAGTGGGGGGGGGTAGTTACCCCCCCATACCACCCCCTGGCGCCGCCACTGCCTGCGACACTGCCGATAATTTAGGCAAATATATAGCAAGTTACCGCAAAACATACTTCCTTTCCTTCCACGACATTTTATAGTAAACAGCATTCAGGTGTTCACATTTGACTATTTCTATGCTGTTATTTATTTTGTTAAATGAAGGACTACAATTTGGGCTAGGTGGAGCAGGGGGACAATTATTCTCTAAAGTAGCTACCCGTTCAGCAGTTTCGTCCCCTGGATACCAGAGTCTCCACTATTTAGTCCCAGAAATATCGTTAAAAACTTTTGAAAGATACTCTATCCCCGGATTTATAAAGCTCTGGTACCCAGAGTAACAGTTTCATAGGGTTTTTATTAGAAAAATTTTATAAAAAGAAGATATGAAATTAGGTTCTTGATATTTTGGCTACCCTGAGACCTACGTATACAGCACTCATTTTTCATCCCCATCCTTCGTCTCTGCTTGATATCACCTGTCCTCTTCCTTTTTGTTCTTCCAGTGTTTGAGCCCTGGCTATTTGCAACAGTTATTCTTAGAAATACTTGCTTCAAATTCAACCGGCGAAACTTGTCTGAATAAGCTTTCAATTACACCGACAAATTTGAAAACCAAGATATATAAACTTTTCTTAAGACTTAGCAATTTGGTCCAAAATCCTCTAGAGCTTTAAGAAGGTTCCAAAATTTTCAGAAATGACTTCCCTAAAACTTCTATTTGAATATGTGCCCCCGCCAACATTTCATGGCGGAGATTTGTGGCTGAATTGGACCTTGAAAATTGACGTTAGGGCCTGAAAACTTTTGGCAATAATTGTGGCCTGTTTTGTCATAAAAGCTTTTGCTTTATAGAACAGAATAAAGAGTTTAGCTCACAAGTTTTTCTGTCCAGTTTTGCTACTGTTATTTTCAAATTTAAAAAATATCATTTTTAAAAATCAATGTTCAGGGGGGGGGGGGCAGGAAAAATATAGTCTTCTAGCAGACCTGAAAGATTTATTACTGATTTATTGAAATATTGTTTTATTTACATTTTCAAACTTTTTCACTATCTGTTTAGAACCAGTCAAAGCGGAAAAGGAGAATTTCATTTTCTTACTCAAAATGGCCGTGAAATCCTTGAGTGTGTCAAGTCCCACACAAAGAGGCTCCATCAAGGCAGAGTTCATGACGATTCAGCTCGCTCCACTCCACTTGGGGTGCCTTCCTCTCTTTCAAGCTCGGCTATCATCGACAGTAGATCACGCTCGTCCAGTAACAACAGCCAATCCTTGAGTTTACGACCAGCTGACTCGGTCACAAGCAGAAGTAGCAAGTCAAGCTAGTTCAAAATGCAGCGAATGCGAGTTGATTGCTGTCAAAGTTCGTTGGCAGTTCGTTGGCCTCAAAGATTGGTCACATGACTGTTCATGCCGAACTGTTGTTTTATGGTTTCCCAAAGGAAGAAAAATAATTTTTTAAAGATTTATCTTAATTCCCTGAGGGTTGATAAATTGCTGGAATTTGTGACCGATGAGGTTGACAAACGCGAATAATGTAAGAATTCGATATTTAATTAGCAATAAACGTAAATTTACCCCCAATGGGAGAAAATAGTGCGTGTTGTTATAATTGAACGTATATGAATAAAGGGTTGAAGTTTTAGATAAGAAACTTTACACTGAAGGTTCAACACAATTAAAAGAATATTCTATAGTTGGGCCGGGCCTAAAATTGTTCTCTGGGGTAAAAGGACCGTCCCGTCCGCAAACTAAAATCCATTTTCCTTAAAAAATTCCTTTCTTCTCCAATCATAGCGTTAGTTATTTTTTAGAGTGTTAACAATTTGTGTAACACTGCATGTTTTTAAGAGGTGGGGCTTCTAAACCACTCGATTCTTGTGGGGCCGGCCCCGTATCAACTTACATGGTTTTTCTCCTTGTTTCTGAAATTTTAGTTTAAAAAAACAATTTCTCCCTTTTTGTTTTCCTTGAAAGGGGAAAGTTTTTTTGATTCCAATTCGATAAATAAATTAATTTGTGAATTTTCGGCAATCTTATTCACACCGTCAGTTGGTAAATTTTCAAAAAAGTGTTGTAAAAATTGTCCATGTAAATAAGTTCTTTGGTTTTTGCTCTTTTACCAAGATTAAGATTGTTTTTTGTAACTGATGTTACCATTTTAGAGCAATTTTTGTAATTGCGTTTCGTTCCATTGTTCAAGACACCCATGGAATATCATCCGTTTGAAACCCGGTTTATATTTTGTACAAATTTACTTTTTAGATTAGGGGTGGGGCTTTCAAATTATGGATTTTACTGTGAATAGCGTGACAAACTAAAAAATTTTAAAAAATCTATAAATACTGGATATTTTAATGTCATATCGTTGGTCACTTGGTGAGAAGAACGTCTCTTTTTATGAAATTTTGCTTTCGATTAGTGTAACGTCGACTTGTGTAATTGGGTTCTGTTTTGGGTTTGTTATTTGGTACGGGTCTCCTACTTCTCGTACGCCTAAAGAAATGAGGCCCCCTCCCAAGAAATTGAATCTGAAGGGCGTTTAACACTTGCAAAGTCCAGCTATTGGACGGGCCCAAGAATAATATTTTTTGCAGTTGCAAATACAGCTTTCGACAGGCTTGAACATTAAGGGCTGCAATGGCACATAAAGACGTAGGAAATGCCACTGATGTGGAGATACAAAACTTTGAAAGAGGCAAACATGCCAAGAAAGGACCAGGCTGTTAGTTAGGTCTCAAGGTGACAGTAAAGTTACCCTTGTATAAACAAGACTTTCAAAGGATGTTAACCTTTAAATTTACTTTAATAAAAAACAGGGTTTCATAACGCTACGAAACTTTAGGACGGCAGTTGCAAGATTAGGCGGCTGTACCCGCGTCTTTGATTGGAAGACGCGAAACGGTGATGACAACACGAGTTCCCAATGTGGATTTTGGTTTTGAATGAAAATAAATTTCAAGTGGTTTTATGTTAGTCAAAATTATTGTAAAACAATAAAAGAACAATAAATGCATTTTTCTGTTGCATCGTTTGTGTTATTCTTCGTTTACATTCTCTCGCTGCTCTCGTAATGCATCATTTGCGCGAGATTTCGCCGATTCGGGTTCTGGTTATTTTTATATTTGATAACTGTTCGGGGATAAGCTTAATAAAAGTCCTTTCCTTTAGTGTTGCAATCGATTACTGAAGGAATAGCAAATCCAGCATTTTGAAATCTTCTTTGCACATCTTGTAATCAGAAATTCTATTTAAACACCTAATGATATCGTATGTGGATCGCATGTCAGGCAAAAGCTGCTTTAACTTTTATGTATTGCTCACCAATAGATGGTTCGGAAAAGGTAAAAATTTTCTCTTTGATACCGTAAACTTGTTTATTAGAAACTAGCACAAGAATTAACAAAAATTATAGAAATTGTAGTTCTTATACAATTTATTTGTTCAGAAAGATAGGAAAAAGCACTGAGGCAGGTTTTTGCAATCTTTTGAATTAATAGTGTCTGAAATCAAAAGGAGCATTACTGCCACATTCCTTCAACGCCTCCTTGTTCATTCCATTTTTCGTTTTTAAATTATTTCTACACGAATGCCTCTTCAGCTAGTTCTAACAATACAATAAATAAACTGCTAATAATTTGGATACAAGTTCTATTAATGGATAATTTTCGAACAGTTTATTAAAATATTCCTCTCTCCTCTATCGTGTTCTTTGCTCTTTCGTCATCAAGTGTCTATTTGCAATGGATATCACTATCCATTTGCGAGGCACCACAAGGCACCCACCCTGGCCTATTGCTTGCTACTACCTTTACAGTATAGGTAGACAAAAATATTGTTTTGTGCCAAGGTGCAGCTAAAATGTTTACTTCCAGAGATAAAATAATTGGAGAAACCTATAGCATTGTACCGTATGTTGATGTGATTGCACATATTTGGTGGAAAGTACCCTTTATATCTGTAAAGTGCTTCTTTGCATGTTCCTTCTTTAGTGCAAAAAGATGTCCCGTCGTGCCCCCTCTCTCCAGCACGTTCCTACACCCCTGCAAATAATCTTTCTCATTTTCTGTACAAAAACAGCTCGAGAAAACACTAAAACACGAACGTCCTGAAGCCGTTAAAACTATGATGTCATAAAATTATACTTTTACTTGGGGCCTTACAATTTGGATCGTAGAATTCCTCTATGACCTGTCGATTGAAAGACCTAAAGTTTCCAAAGGATAATAGCAGTTTGGCTCAGTTTAGAACCAATTTCATAAGGAATGTGAGTTTGGCTTCATCTAACTCAAAATCAATTGGACTCAACGATTATATTTGTAGGTGATTTTTATAATATTATTTTGCATAATAAATCAAAACTCAAAACACCAAAAATTGATTGCAATAACATTTTGATACTCAGATCATTTCAAACAAATTTAGCAGTGAATAAAAAATGGATAAACTTTGGCAAGAGAGATTTATATAATATCAACGAAATCAGATACTTTTACTAAAAAACTGAAGCACTTGTCACGCTATATTGGATTCATTTCGTATCGGATTACTGTTCATACCGGACAGGCGTTCTGTTAACTTTAATAGCTTGAATCCGATACACTCAGGTCTCGTTTTTGCGGATTCAAATCACTACTCTTTAAGTTAAACGTGGCACCGGATATGGGACGGTATCGGATTACTACTATCCCGGAACCCTCTAAATATGCAAGATTTGTGTAGCCGCATTTTAAACAATTCATGCCACAGAGTGCGGAACGTAGCATAATAGTCAAAACTGAACCCGGTTTTTTGTAAATAAACGTGATATTCGTATAAGATATGGTCAGTGAGTCCGTTTCGAAATAAATCTCTCTTATCTGGGTGCCTGTAAACTGCAATGCAAGGCAAAATGATGCTTTAACATACAATTATACCATCAACAGGTTGGTTATAATGAATCTATCCTTGACTTAGTTCATTAAATTAATCAATATTGACAAACGAGATTCTTTACATTTTTCCAGTTAGTTTCAAAAATTAGTAGTTCTAAAATAACGTGAATTTTTCCATGTTAAACAAGCGAATTTTTCAGAAAGAAACTGGACAGCTAGAGCACGTTTTTACCATAAAAATCAATTACAATAATGAACGAGTTTTGAATGTTTAGGCTCGCTAGTATCACCTAGTATCACGGAAAAACATTCTCTAATGTACATAAATTTTCAAGACATTGAAAGGGCAAGCTATTTACATAAATTTTCAGTCCAACTATTTTTATACTACAAAATTTGCACAAAGGTCATTTTGACCATCATAACCCCCCCCCCATCCCCAAAGCACCCTCTAGCGTATGGTTATTTACCTTTCTACATCATTAAACCATTGTCACATTGCCACAGTGCTAATAATTCTAATAATAACTTTGCTGTTGATACAGCTCGGGGATTTCCAAATCGTTTGCCCTTTTGAACAATTGAGAATCGTTTCCAGTTTCAAAAGAAGAATCAGTGTCCTGAGAATACAGCGAGGGCACCTTTAATTTGCCAGTTTGACGTTCAGTGCTTTCGCCAACCGACAATTGATCTTCCCGTGAATGCCTTTGTCTTGCACCATGATGCAATTTGGTATTCTCATATGCATCAGTAGCCGTGACCTTCTCTTGAGATTCACGATTCCCCTTGGGGAGAAGCTGGAATGCTTCTTGAGGCCCCTCGACATCAATTGGAAAATCGGGAGGTGGTCGATATAAGAGCTCTCTATAATCTTTCTTTGCCATGTCAGCCCTTATTTGACTCTCCGTTGGAAGACTGTCTGTACCTGGATCAATGCTAATCATGGACATTAAATTTTCATATTGTTTATCTCGTTGCACAGTATCTCGATAGCTTGAAACGATATCTTTCATGGGAAGTTCTACCCCAGGTGCAGTGTTCTCGTACAGCTCATTCTTTACCTTCAATTTCAAAGAATCCGAAGTAGATTTCAAGGAATTCTGATTGGTAGGAGCGACTGTAGAAACCGCTCTATTACGATTTCCAGTAATTTCATGAAGCGATCCATAATCCAAAGAATTTCCCCCATACATCCATTCATCACTATGGGCACGATACAGCTCAACATTTCTATACTGATTTTTGACACCGGAACTTTCATTACTTTCCTCTCGTTTCTTCTCTTGATCGCGTGTCTCGGGGTATGATCTTGAACTCACTGCTACCTTCAATTTCAAATCCTTTTTTAATTCCAGCAAATCTCTTGAATGTCTTGAAAGTGAGGTGCCAGTAGATGCCTGCCTCTGTTTTTCAGTGCTTTGGTCATGATCTTCATGTACTGATACACTCATCCTTGAATCACTGTACATTCTTCTCAGGTACTGCTTGAAGTCATCCTGCTGCCAATTATTTCTATGAGAATGGCAGTAATTTACCCACTCCCTTACGGTAAATGAAACTGCAAATCCAAACCTTCGGCTTGCAGACTTGGCTATTGGAATAAGGCGGTCTAGTTCCTGTTTTGACAAGTATAGCTCAAACGTGATTGCTAAAATAGTGCTTGAAACTTTCAACAGTATAAACTCATCTTGAGTGTCGTTTTCCATGTAGCCCATGGCTTTTATGAAGTAATCAGCTACAGAAGAGCAAGGACTGAGCTTCTCTTTTATATTACAGGAAAAATATGCTGTGTATTTCTAAAAAAGAGGGGCAGAAACAAATCATCATACATACAATTCAATTTCTCATTACTACAAATACTATTCAAAATATAGGTGATTAGAATGTACAAAGCACATATTTGTTGAAAAAAGACAATGTTCCTCTGGCATATTGAAATATATATTGTTAGAACAATTTTTTATATTGCAATGAAACTATGCAAATACAATATATCTTGAAAGTAGATTTGAAGTGGAAAAGCATTATAAAAATACTCAAAGAATTCTTTTTCACGACATTGCATTTGGTATCATACCAAATACTGTTAAATGCGGAAAAAATATCAAAATGTCCACTTATACTTTGACTGAAGACCTTTTAAATCAGTCCTGAACTTTGGTTGAAATTCCTATGAATTAGCTTCACTCGCAATGAGCTTATCCCACTTCTCAGCCTAGCAGTTGAGTAAGTTCAATTGCAATTTGGTTACTTTCTACTTAATGAAATTGGCATTTACAGCAAAGAAGCCTTGGCTTATCTGTTATGCCCCTCAATACAGCACCAATTGCATGATGGGCTAGACTGAACAGCTTATTCGGGTTACTATTCATCTTAAAACAATTCTAAGAAAATAACAAGTCATTTTCGAGCCCATTCCAATAGCCATTGAGTTTGCCTTAGTTGCCTGTTCAGAATGTAAGCAGTAAAGTTTGGTTAACATTTTTCCTGCAAAGGCATGCTTGAAGGGTAGCCATGACACAAAGTAACAACATTCATACAGAATACAAACCTTTATGACTTTGTATTCTTTTTGGTGCGGATGTCTGCAAAGATTTAGGGCAAATGGTAGCAGATTGGAGAGCGCAACTTTAACATTTTCTAGAGTTTCATCTCCAAAAGCACCTGCTTCAAGCAAATCATCTATCAGAGAAATGATGATAATGAATCTAAATGTATATCCACTTTCAAGCAGCTGTTGACATTGTTGCTGGAAATTCTCCTTGTCTTGCCCACATTCTTTGCCTTCAATTATGATGTCACGAAAGTTGGATAGAATTTCCTTGGGGATGTGAGATGTACCAAAATCATCTACAAAATTGAAAATACAAATTACAATATACGTAGTATGTACATTGACAAGTTACTATATTGTAGCTTAGAATTATTCTTCTATTCAAAATTCATCACAAACAAAAAAAGGGCAATAAAAACTTTGCAATTTATCCATGAATTTGTTTGAACTCTACAATGAATGGTTTATGATCAAGTTACAAGCATATATATACTGCTGACTAATGACAAATTTCAGATGTCACAAAGGAATCAATTTTAACTTCATGTGTATTTTTCAAAGTTTTGTGATCTGAGGCAAGCAATCACTCGTGTTCAGGGCTGTAGCTCTTCAAGGGGCATTTGAGGTGACATCCAAAAAATGTATTTCAAAAACAAGGAGATTGTTGCCATCTATGGGAGTTTCATCTGCAAAATTTCAAACTTGTAGGCAAAAAAGGATGGCTAATCCACCGGCCAGTTTTGATAATTTTATCATTTAGGTCTAAATTATATGTTGTTGTGGAACAAAGAAAGCGGATCTTATCAACACCACTAAGATGCTTTAATCTACAATAATTTCAGAATTGGATCTCACAAATCTTGGATGCAGTATCAGAGTTTTCCTTAAAAATTATCTTGAGCTTAAAAATCTTGCATGACTCTGAAAATCTTTCCAGAAGACTTTGAAAAGACTTTTCACTCTTGGCAACTAGCACACCATGTAATTGTTGAGAATGCCCATTCAGTGCCCATTCAGTATTGAGAATGTTAAAACAATGGATTCCTGAGGTGAAAATGAACTCCTTCTGTCTAACACAACAGTGGTTTCTTCATGTTTATGTCTTTCCAAGTGTAGAGTTGGAGATCTATGTTCTGACATTTTGTACTCTGAAGAGAGTCAGACGAAAAGCATATTAGTAACATGCTTGCTTTAAATGTTTAAATATTTTTAAATTATGTACCACGGAAACAGGGGCGGCGTGGGGTGGTATTAAAGGTATTAGTCTAATACCATTTTATTTTCAAAGGAAGGCGACTTTGGGTCTCTGAGATTGCAGGAAATTTATTTTGCTTTTTGTACGCTGCCACTTTTTCACAACAATTTTATCGATGCGACCAGCTCTATTCGTATAGCCAAGCTATATTTGCTTTTCTGTTCGTTGAATGAAAGCTTTCCTAATCCTCATTGAAATCTTTGAAAAGTGTAATCCATGCCGTAATCAGCAGCCCTGGCCATGGTATTAGCCTCCAAAAACTAATACACTGCCCCGAAATTTCTTTTGTCTGTTGTGGTCTGCATGACGTGAATTTCTCTTGTTGAGCCATGGTAGAAGAATGGGTGAACAGCAGTAAGGTATTAGTTTTTCATTTCTAATACTACGAGGGCCACTGTCAGTGGAAGAGACGGTGGAAAGAGCCCCAGCTCTATTCTAAGGCCTCAGCTTATAGAAAAAATATTTCTGGAAATTAACTTTATGAATTTACAAAATGTAGCTGTACTTTTGCTAGCAATGCCTTTGGATGGATAATTTGATTGACAAAATTTAGACACTGAATATAAAGAGCAACAGTCATGAAATAATTTGTTTAAGCTAAAGGCAGTTGTAAAAGTTGTTTTGTATGAACTGTATGTTTTGTAAAACTTCGATTCTATATGATTGTAGAGTCATAGGCAACATTCTCACATTATTTCTCTCGGTTTCTCAAATCAAATGATACATCTTACGTTTTTTTGCTGCATTACTCTAAAGTAAATCGCTCGCTTTATCGTAATAGAATCTCATTCGCGGGCCAAAAGCCTCATGGTATTAGAATTAATGGGCTAATACCTTGGGGCTCCATTACTGGGCAGCAAACCGCTGTATCAAAACACGATTTCGCTCGTGTAATTTGCCGCAGCCATAATTCATTTGTATTTCGTAGGACCGATCCTTCACCCAAAACTAGTAGGATGAACTACATTACCACACAGTCATCAGTGTCTGGGGGGAGACAACGGGGGCCAGTGCCTTCAAATAATTTTGTAAGATATGGTATTGCCAAAAGCTATTTTAAACCATCATATCGAAAAGTTCATTTTGCCCACCTTCTTAAATAAGAACATATAAGCTCCACCCCTGTTTAATAGTTTCAGGACCTTGCAGGGGGACCTTCTTATGTCTTAATTTCGGAGGCTAATACCAATACTTTTCTACTCCCAGCCGCCCCTGCACGGAAAGACTGTTTTCTGATAGAATCAATATCAAGAAAAATTGTTTTCTGATAGATATAGTTGTCATTGTTCATATCCATCATCTTTCCCATCCCCATGAACACAGAAATTATAAAAAAGGGATTGTTCTGAGAAGATTTCTTTCCTTAGCTGCAATAATTTATGGTGGGTATGGTCTATGCTGCAATAGTAGTTCTTGACGCTCATACAGCACATCAATGCTATTTGAAGACAGGTCCTATTAAGGTCAGAGAAACTTTTCTGTGGTTGTTTCCAAGTGCCTGTTTAAACTGGGGGATTTTCAGAATCTGGCCGGAACAGGGTCTACAGGATCTCTTCCTAGAATCCGGCCAGAATATCTGGCCAGAATATCTGACCAGATTTTACAGAATAATCCTACCATTACCGAATTTTTCTGTGATAAGAAAGTTTTGAGCTTCTGTGCATGAAAATGTATACGAAGAAGAACAAAGGAAACATTTCATCCAGTCTTCCTGTTTTGTGACAACAGGCACATTCATTTCAAATCTATCTTCAAGGCACTTGTTTTATCATCAAACCAAATACTGTACTTTTTCAAAAACAAGCCAACAGTTCATTTTTTGTTTGAAATGAAAATTTTTAGCCTACTTTTGAGTCAGCTTATTTTCGAGGTGTTTTCTGAAAAGACACTATCCACTTTATACTATCCGTTTCTATACACTCCAAAGCCAAATCTACATGGAATTTTTTAACCCAGGTTAAGTTAACATGGGTTGAACTCTGTGAAATTTACCCGGAAAAATTGGCTTTTCTTTGCGTAAAGTGGATCTGGTGTGAGCTTGGGTAAAAATTTGGTCCTCCTAGCACATCAACTGTTATAGCTGCAGAGCTTGAGGGGTATATCAACATGTCATGCATTCCATGCAAAGAAAGTGACCAGGACTTCCTCTAAGGAATGGCAAGAAGTTTCTTTTCATGCACCATATCTTTGGAAGACTTTTGACCTTTAGAATTACGGTTAAGCTTGTTCTATTGCTTTTAATTCTTGTTGTTTGTGGTATTTACTCTTTTATAATTAGTTTTCTCTAGATAGTATCTTTGTTCCAATCAAAATTCTGGAAAACCTGGCAACTGGCCAGATTTCAGAAACAAATTTTGACTTCAGTGCTTGGCTGCAGGAGAACCCTTTCTGTATGCCGGTAAAAATTAAAAAGGCAAGAAGACTCTCACCCACATAGACCCCTCACATATTCAGACCCTTCTGTGTACCCAGTTCATGTTATAAACCAGCCATTCTTAACCTCAGGCCTGCAGGCCACCTCCAGCATGCAACAAGATTTCATCTGGGTGCCAAATACTTTCACCTCAAATAATTTTTAGCGTTCACTTTCAGAATTTGGCATTCGATTTATCTTTGTTTTTCTTTTGTCGGCTCTGATATCTTTCATAGGCATTTCATAGACAGTTATTGGTCCAAAAGGGAGTATCAAAAAAGGAAATGTTTTATTCAATTATTTGATCATTTTCATTAACTGTTTTTTTATTTCTCTTCTCCATATTCTTATACGCTGCTTTGCTATGATATTCCAAAACCTTGTAAGACCCTTCCTTTCTCGTGTCAACCTTTAAACAGATAGAACTATGGCAACTAGTTATAAAAAATCTTTCTCTAGTGTGCTTCAAGTCTACCTGACAAGAGACTAACAAAGATTAACATTCTAGCCTAAAAATAGCACAGAACAATCTTCTGACTCAACTTGGTACAAGAAACATAAAGTTTTTTGGGTTTATGTACTATGCTAGAGATGTTGAGAGCCCAGTGGCCCCCGAAGAAAATCTACATATTTTTCTGGCCTGGCAATCAAAATACTTAAGAACCCCTGTTATAAACAAACCGTTTAGCACACAGAAGCATTAGCTGATGTTGTAAGCTTCATTATTTTATCCATGTACCAATCAGACTGTTTACAGGCAATTCCAAGGTGATTTAAAACAGCAATTCTGATATTTTAGACTGTATATTTTACTTATTTTTTCAAGACAATTTCTGAGGGTGATAGCTTTGGAATTTCATCTTATGTTTTATGAAAAACCGTATCGCTCTTCTAAATGAAGTAACATGATAAGGTAAGACAAAATAAACAGCGAAGATTCATTAATAACGCGTAAATAAAGACAGCCGGCATTGAAATATGGCCTAGTGTAGTGGGCCTTAGAAAATCAGAGTTGCAATGTTGTCCGAAAAGCAGAGTTGAGGTTCTACTCAGTTCAGCAAGAACAACAAAGTGCACTATTTCTTACTAATTTTCACATGATTCCGTTTGAATCAAACATATTGGTCTGGAAATTCTGTCTATTTTCAAAGCTGAATGTTTGATTTTAGACTTTGAATTTAATAACGGAAACATCTTATGATCATGCCTGGATAGTGTATGTGATGATTGTAGGAGGTAAATTGTTGTTCAAATTAATCTCAAAATAGATGGGTAGACACAGAATATTTCATATCAAGTTCAGCCGTTGCTTACCGTCGTTTCGCTCCATAGATAAATGGGGTCTCCGTCTTTCCTCGCGCACCATTTTGCTTTTTGTAGAGTTGCGAAACTAATCTCGGTTTCGTGTGGGAACTAGGGGATACAAAAGTATAGAAGCGCCGAGGGGATATCTGTGCTAAGCTTGCTCGAAACATTTTCCAGTTGGATATCAGTGAGCCAGTAAAAGCATCCACACCAAGCAAAACATAATTATTCTTTTCATAATCAAGGCCTAATTAGCGAGTAATCCGCCAATAGGGGGCCTCCCACCAATATAAGGCAATAAACTTTAAGGGGTGTGAATAGTTTTGAAAATCCATAATTTGCAGCCCTATATATAACTTTATGTAGAACTAGACCATGGCACTCTTGGGGAGCTAGTACAAGTTAGCTTAATAGAAGACTAGCCATTGCAAGACATACGTCACTGAAACACGTGTTTTTATATGTAGTATATATGTGTATACCAACAAGGTGTATAGAACTATATTCACCTCATTGGTGTATACATAATCAGTTAAGTGGCGTAACCCTTTTTTGACCCAAGGTTTTTTAAACATTGAAGTTTAGGTGTCGAATTGCGTCAAAACGCAGAAACTCTCGAAATCTACAATAAACTGAACGCTTAAAAAGCTATTGAGTTGTGGTGCACGACACTTTCTGTCATTTAAATTAAACTTGTTCGTGAAATATTAAATAATTTTATCTGAAATTTCTCGATATAAAGAAATGTAGTGAGTAGAACTTGTACTTATCTCGTTTCGTGTTTATGCACTACATATTGGTAAAGAACAATCCTCGTATAGATTTTTCCTGGCTAAAAGTAGCCTTGATTCATAAAATAGCTTACTACATGAAGTACCAACAATTCCAGTGGGATTTTTTTTGGTGAAGCCAGTGGCGTCGCCACGGAGTGTTGATTTTCTAATTTCTCGAAATTCGTTGAAAAACTTCTGGGGTGGGGGCAGGTGGGCTGATCAGATCGTTTTCGATTTTTGCACTTGCAAAAGCCAACGTTATGAAAAAGTTGCTTGAGAAAGCTGTTTGCCTAAAGATTTCGAAATAGATAAATGATGCTAAAAAAGGCTTTTCCAAGAGTCTGAAGGGCGTGGCCGACAAAATTTGTCTTCGTTCACCCCAGTTTTTTTCGGCCTGGCGACGCCACTGGGTGAAGCAGGGCAACCGAAAATTAATTTTTTGTTTTCTTCTTGTCTCCATCTACATCCAATAAATTCGTGTTTCTTGTCAAACTGTAGTTTATTTCCTTTATAACAGTGTACTGAATGAGAAGGAATACAACGGGCAGCCCTTCCAATATGAATTTCGTCCCGACGGCATTGTGTATGGAGGTATGTAAGGGCCATAAGAGTTGCTCTTTTTTCATTTCATTTCATTTTTATAATCAATCAGCCCTCAATGCAATACACAAATTACAACACAGACATAAACTCTAAATCTAAGATACATTACAACACTAATTAAATAACTAACGATACAAGAAATTAGCAAAAAAGTTACATTATTGTAATTAGGAATGATTGATTGATTAAGGATGTCTGTTATCAACATAACCTTTGTTAATAAACTCTTTGTAAAGAATTTACCTACCTATTGAGCTTATTATCGAACATTTCATAAATTTTGGATATATTTTATTGCTAAGAATATAATAAAGTTGTGGTGTCAAAAATAGAAATGATTTGTAAGCAGTTAATCAACAATTCCCCATTATTCGATCCCTACATATGTTAGATTTTCGCAACACACTTGATTTTTCTCCTGGTTTTTCACAACTGTCTCCGAGTTTACTTTGACCTCCGGCAAAAAATGTTTCCCAGTTTTAGATACTCATGATTACACAAGGGGATTTCCCTTTTGCACTATCAAAACTGAAAGTAATTTGAGATATCAAGAAAAAGATCCGCCTCGTTTTCAGCTTTGCTGACTGAGTTTCTGACCGGGCAGGTAACTTCAATAGGAAGAGGACGGGGATTTGCAACTTTGAAAAAATGAAAACATACCCTGATATCTATAGATTTTTCAAAAACCCTACCCCAACTTGTATGCAACATGAAATGCATAAATTAGATTCAAATCTGCAAAAATCCAACAACTCAATCATTCTTTCAAATTGATACCCCAAAATTTAAGGACATGCTAAAAATCAATTCCCAAATTTATGACAATCAGAGGCATGGCGAAAGCTTCATGGTGCGGTGGAGGCAGGAACCGCAGAAAGGGCACCTTGGGGGTATCAAAGTTTGCTGCTGAAACAGATCGGGAATCGTCGTTTAGCCAATGACAAAGCCTGGTTATAGGTGAAGGTCCTGTTAAGGGGGAGAGGGTAGGTAGTCTGGGGAAATTTTGCGTTTCTACGCATCTTTAGGACAATTTGATAAACTTTATTAAAGTTCTGAGCATCCGGGTTTCTGAGCATCTTTAATGAAATCTAGGAGGCGATTGCCCCTCAAGCTTCAGTGACCTTTCTATCTTTATAACAATAGGATATCCTGTTGATATAAACAAAGGCTTATCCCCATCCTCTCCCCCAGCTGATTTCTCATCGAAAAAGCTGCAACGGGCCTGATGTCGGAGACCATTTCATGATAGGTTGCAACTAGGATCATTTTGCTTTGATTATGTAATAGTGATTTAATAGTATCTAGAAAATTAGCATTTAATAGCATTTTGATTTAATAGTATCTAGAAAACGCCAATATCTTACTTTGTTTATATTCTCTATCTCATAGTTGAAAACAAAATTGTAAAAAACGGAGTTGCCAACCTTCTCTAGGGGTTTCAAGGGTGTGACACTGGGATGTGAATCAAATCATTATCTAACGCACCCCTCTTCTTTGTTCCAATCCTTGCCTCTCAAATCTCTCCCTGGCTACAACAGAAATTAATTGACAAAATGTGTCACAAACCGTCAAGTCGATTTTCCCCATCTCTTTCCAATCTTTTCAAATGTTGTTTAAGTTGTTTATACTGGAAATTACACCCAAAGCATATATTCTGCGAAAATCAGTGGCACTCTAATGCCTCAATGGAGTGAAAGAGTCATCATAAAGAACAGCCAAAAATGTTTTACTTTCCTCTACAATGCCAATAATGATTATCCTGGTTCTCCAACACCTAACTTCATTTTGAGGGTCTTCCAGGGGTTTTGGGGAACGAGCAACATGGCGAAAAATGGTGCGGGAACAGAGGAGCAACTTAAATTTTCCACTGGGAACCTGAGAAATTGTTACCTGATCAGGGAACAAGGGAACGTTGGTTTTCATGGAAATTGATTACGTTACATATCACTTTTTGCGATAATCTTTAAAAAACCGTCCCTGAAAATACATCCCAGCTGTTGTCATCGTTGCAAGCGAGGTAAATCCACGAGTATGAGCACCCGGTAAACCTCTTCGAACAGCCTCTTTGCACAGAAGACCAACATTTTCCGCGTAAAGGACCCACATTGCTCCTAATACCTTCCATTACTGCGCACAGTTTGGCAGGGCTCTTGCCATGGCGCAATTTGTAAACAAAAGGGATTTCACCGGTATGGGTATTCTGATCTCAATAACTGTTTCAATCTGCTGCAATTGATTTTAAATCATCGCACCCATTCCTGTACTAATACGCATAACAAAACAATCCCTTTTGGAATTAAAAAGAAGAATGTTCCTAAATTCTACTTTGGAAACAAGAGAGCACGCACGAATAGATTACAATTTACAGAAAACCTACACTGTCAGTTGTCAAATGTCAGTTGGCCCCTACTTTTTGTCAGAAGTTTCTCGTTTTGATAAAGCTGCAATTCTTGGGTTTTTAAATAGTTGCCATTTACTAGCACCAATGGTAATATTCTCAGGGTCGAGCTCCCTCACCCTAAAATGCACGTTAGGTTTCCCTACCCTGGGTACCAGACGCATTTTATCATATATAGAGTGAGTCTGGTACCCAGGGTAAGGTTTTCCAAGCATCAGAGGCCCATAGACAGCTAAACTGGATTGGGGGGGGGGGCATTAATAAAAATATAGCTTTTTCTATACCTGCCTCACGAAGTGCTGTCAGATCAAGCTGCGGTTATAAGATCTTCAAACCAATCTTTGAAAATTATTGCCCCCCCCCCCTGCGCCCAGTGTCTACGGGCTTGCCAAGCATGCAAAAAACCATTGCCAGTTTGAAATTAAGACAAAAATATCCTTTGTTCTTGGCAAAAGGCACTGCAGCACCTTAGCAAAGTGGTTTCTCGCAGTGATTGGCAACGTTTTTTTTAATTGCGGATCAATATATCTTTTTATAACCATTTTTCGATGGAAGCACGGGAACGTTGATTTTCTTTAAAAAATTACACGAGAACAAGGACCTTTCTCACTGGGTGGGGAGAGGAGGGGAAGGGGTTGTGAGAGATGCAAAACCAAAGTCTATGGACAGAAATTCTTTTGTTTTACTTGGCATAAAGTAATTAGTATTAGGTAGTTATTTAAGTTGAATGGTTTTAGCCAAAAAATCTTTTGGTTTTCATCCCAAAATCCAGAAAGAAGACAACCTGGATTTAAAGTTTGAAGCTTGTGCTTTCATTTGTCAGAATGATGCTGTATTTGTGTATAATGCCAACAGCTATCCAAACACTTAAATTTTGCTCTACTTCTTATGCACAAAGCAAATTCTGGGCAGTTTCCTGATTGTAAATATAATGATTCAAGGACCACAGATAAAATTATGGATTGGGGGGCTAAAAATTTCTGGGGGCTAAACATGCTAAAAACAAGAACTTGGGCGATTATTTCCTTTTTTAGGTACAATTTGGAAATTGATCTGAAAGGGCAGTTTCCCCCTTTTACATTTACCGCTTACTTTTACCGAATTTCCAAAGGAGAAGGCACCGGGAAAATTCTGGGCATTGCCAGCCTGCCCCTAAAAAGCAGCTGTTGGTTTCAGGGGATTTTGTGAAATTCATTTCCTTAGGTACTAAAAGAGGTAAACAGGGCTGACGAAATAGGGGATTGTGCATTGGGGCTTAAAATAGATAAAGAGTTGCTGATGCCAATTTTGAATGCTCCTTGTTGTGTCTTTAACATTATTGCGTAAACGCATTTTCAGTCATTCAAGGAAACTTATCCATGACTTAACAATTTTTTTAAACATGAAAACTGATACATACTCGATATACCGATGCAACTAACCAAATTCTTAACGAAATAGTATATTCGCATCATCATCTTCCAAAAGCATAAATCTATTTCACAACTTTACTTGATCTTTGCAATTAACTTACGAATGCCATCGAAAAAAATAATTCTTTTTGTATTATTTTAGACCAAGCAAAATTATTTGACTCTGTAAATCACAATTGAACACAATGCCGTAGGATGAATTGCTTTAAAATCGTTTACATTGTATTTTTCTAACTGAACCCAGTAAGTATGTGTTAATTGAGTTATCTAAGCGCCAATTCATAACATATGGTGTCCCTCAAGGAAGTGTATTAGGCCCGATTCTCTTTTATCTGTATTGAAATGACATACCCTCTTCCTCCCGCATTCTCAAATTTAAACTCTTTGCTGATAATACTAACATCTTCTCCATCACAAAATCCCACACAAACGTGACAAAGCTGTAAAAGACGAACTAAAATAAGCTTCATAATGGCTTTCTGCCAACATGCTATCGCCCTTACCCTGCGTACCAGATAACAAAGGATATCGCTCTATGTTGCAAAGTAAAATCCTATGATCACATCTGATAGAAAAAATTCAGCATCTAAAATTTGCATTATCAACTATTTATAAATAACTATTGTAACGAAGTAACTTATGAAAGAAACTTCGATTTTAGAGAATGGTTTTGAAATATCTTGGTGTATCAATTGATAACAAGCTTAACTAGAATCAACATACAGAAACTAATGCAAAATTTCGAAAAGTATTGCCATTCTGGCAAAGATGAAACAGAAATGTTTCCTTAGATATCCTAAAAATCCTGTACTACGCTTTCATATATACTACGCTATACTGTACTACGCTACACTATCACTAACTGGTATGGTATCACTATCATGGGCTCCGATGCAAGTTGGAAAGTGGGGGGGGGGGGGGGAAGGGATTTTAACAATCAAAACATAAGAATTTTTAAAAAGCTTTATTGTTTTGCAAAAAAGTGGAGAGGCCAGGGCCCCCCGGCCCCCCCCCCTTCGTCGGAGGCCCTGACTATGGTATCACTAACTGGTTCATGGATTTTTGAATCCTCAATCCGTACTATTAATCGAACTTTAAGAAGGGTTGTTTGAATAATTTTCTTGAAAGATTTTAAAGCTATTCCATCCCTTGTCTATCGAAACTTGGTCTTCATTGGTCTTCACACTTAAAAGACAGCTACAGATTTGAAGGTGCGAAACTTATGCACAACAGAAAGAAATTATATGTGAAGGGGCTCGAGTTGCTAACATTATTAGACTAAAAAACCAACTTTTGAAAAACGCACTGTAATTTTTCACGATATTTTATACCTATGATTATGTGGGACAATCGTTATGCTAGCGGTACATTGGAAGGCCGGCGAGAGGTTTTTGGAGGCCTTAGATATATCCAAAGATGAGGCTTCCTTGCGAGCGAAGAGAGGAGAGAATTTTTCAGAATATTCCTTGCGGTCCTTTTTTGCAAATATCTTGCTATTTTAAAGGCATCGCTTTTTACGTTTGACTAATTTCAGTCTTAAAATGGAATTCGTTACTTTATGGGGCACCATAGACCCCGGCTTGTTCCTTTGAAATAAAGCAATACTATGAAAGGATTTATCGCACTATTCTTTTCTATTCTTTTTATTCTCTTGAAAACACTTTTTTGCAAAAAAGTCTGGCGCCGCCCATGAGACAACACCTCCATCTATTTAAGAATTATGCTTTAATGTAATTTTTTAAGCAAATTCTACCTTTCTCTTATGTCGTCGTACGCAATCCGATCAGTGAACCCTATACTTGAATCTAACAACAACTACAACAGGGCCTCTCTCTCAAATTGTCTGCCCTCTTATTCCATTTTGTTGCTGCGCAACTGCGACTGTGGACATAACAGCTCTTAGGCTTTGGCTTGCTGGACTTGAATCAGAGTGTTCCTTATTTAACGAAAAAGAATCATCATGGTAAGTTTCAATTTGTTTAAATTAGATTTATCCAGTTAACTGAGATTTTCTCAGTTAACACATTGTTTGAATTGTCTGAAGTGACTGTTACAATGTTAGTACTATAGTCCGCCTTTTTGAGGATGATTTTGAAAGTTAAGAAACAACCCTACCCAAATTGAAAAATGCCAAGAAACTTTTATAATTTGCAGTTTTAATTTTCCAAGTTGACACTCGAAAGAGTCTTATATTGCAACTCAATGGAACTTCGCTGTATATTGCAACACTACACTTGACATGCAGTTTGCATTCATTCTCAGTGAATTGCACACTCAAGAAGTTTCCATTTAGAAATTTATTTTGACTTCAACTCAACATTGATGAAGTTCAATGAGCTTAACTGCTTATAGATCTCAACAGAGTTAGTCATTCTAGGAAGACAAAATTTCGTGATCACTTTGTTAGTTTATCTCTAAATGTGAGTGAACTATTTACTTTACCTTGGAAGTATGTTTCAAAAATTCATTACCTAAGAAATTTTAGAAACATGTAAGAAACTTTTGATAGCAAAATGGCCAGGAAATTTAAGAAACTGCACGAGACCTTAGTTTATTATAAATAATATGTGTATTTTGTAACTGGGTACTACTCAAGTTTAGTATCAGGAGCTTGAGGATTTGGTGCATCTTCATTAATACTAGGCGCAAAAAAGGCCTTGAAAAAATCTTTGGCAGAGAAAACATCAGATTGACTTCATATAGTTGACAACAGGATGGCTTTTGAAGAAAAAAGGAATCGTTCATTTGTATTGTTTTAAGGAAAAAACAGGCCTATCCATTGAAATAAAACTTAGAAATATTGAAACTAACAGACCCATGGTGAACCATGGCTCTTGATAGTAAAGAAGATGCTTTAAGCCCAATATTTTGAAGAATCTTGAAATATAGATCCGTCAAAGAAGTTGAAGCATACTTTATTTAGCTCAAGCCAGTTTGTGACCTGGAATTGATTCTATGCCAGAGATTTGAAGTAAGAATTCTGGATTTAATTCAAATTTTGTACCATATGTTATTCAATAAAGCCATAAATTTCTGTCATACAAACAACTTCAATTCTCTAAAGCATTTTTCTACTAAGGGCAGACTGGCTGTCATCAAAATGGCCAAAAAGAAAAAAAATTGAATGTGAATGTAAATAACCATAAAATTGTTTGCATTGTAACTTAGAAAACCTTAAAACAACCCCAAGGTGAAAGCATCTCATTTCTGATTCAATAATTCACCAAAAAGCAATAAAAAACTAGCCTCTGCCGAATTGAACATTTATTGATTCTTCAAAGACTCTGGGAAGGGGGGAGGAGGATTAGAAAAGATGCCTTTTAACTATACTTTAAACCCTGAAAAAATAAATAAAGTAAGTCTAATCTCCTAATTCCCTTTTCTAGTGCCTTTTTCAAGTTAACCTCCCAGTTTTTACCTGAAAACTAATGCAATTTATGATATGATATAGTAGGGCTGGATAAACATTGTATTTTGGATAAAAACCTCTGGATTTCTCCAATTCAATTTCAAGGCTAATGAAGAGGGGTGTTAAGCCATTGCAGAAGAATATTAAGTGCAGAATGAAGAGAATTTTTGATTTGTGATAATATTTATCAAACATATAATCAAAGCCATTTAGAAATTAAGTTTGCTGCTCTTGCTTTTACTGTGTATTTATCCTTCTGTACCAGTTAAACCTTCAGGTATTAGCATATTCAGAGCTTTCTAAAGCTTATAAATATCTGGTGGCATTGGCTATATAACACTAGGACAAGTAGAGGGGGAGTGAAGCTTTAAAGTACATATTAAAGAACAGATTATGGAATAGCACAGCACAATCTACAGTCTTTCATTTTGTTAATACCTGGGCGTCTTATAGCTTGCAGGCCACACACAACCCTTTAGAGGTTCCTTTTCAGAACCATGAGTGTTTGGTCAACTAGACCATGAACTCTTGTAAAAGAATTTGCATAATCTGAAAATTCCACTTGGCCTAAGCAACAATCTTTATATTTATATGCATTTTTCTGCAATATCTACATCTCTCAGATTACCAGTGCAAGCTCAAATATTGTATGCTTTGTTGCTTTTACAGTGTAAGAAAAGGAATATTGTGCATAATAAAGTTATCATTGGTTCAGCCCTCCAATGACATCCAGGTTTCTCATGTGGCCTCTTGTGAAAATCTTGAAAAAATGCTTACTAAATGAGATTCAGAATGGCTGTATCATTGGCCAAGTTATCAACTCTTCAACAGAACTGCAATGTCTCTTATTACTGTGATTTATATTGTATGAAGGCCATTTATTAAGGGTACAATTTACTTTAAATTTTTGTTGTTGTTAGAAAGATTTTTTAGCAAAGATTCTTTATATTTTCTATGTTCTATTAACTCAAATTGAATTTGAACTGCATATGACCCAATATTTAAACTGTATGTCCAACACGAAAGTTTTATTCTACTTGGGAGATTTTTTAGGCTACTGATTTTTTTTGCCAAACTTTATGGGCCTGTTTGATCAAAATATGCCTGGACTGAACAATTAAACAAGTTTGCCCTGAATCCTAGAATGCTGATTTTCCATCAGATACAAACCATTGATAATTTGCTCAAAGTTGGTAGACCCGATCTTTTTCATTCCATTATTTAAGTTGGTATCTATAAAATCGAAGGGTACAATTAAAACCAACTAACTAAATTAATACCAGTAATCTTAACTGGTATTGTTTTTTTAGACATTTTAATGTATAAGCTAATTGACTTTTAATGTATGATATATAATGACATCCAATAATGGAATTAAGTTAATTGTCATCATCCATATTATTTTGTACTTGTTACCTTTCTGTAAAATGCTATTTTCAGTCATATTCTGAACATTCTGCTAATTTTACATAGCAGTTTTAAGAAAAATGTTAGAGAATCTTAAAGTTCAACACTGGAGCATTTTTCACATGTAAGGAAATTGCACTTGTCACATGCTTATCTTTATCTGCAGCCTCCAAAGAAGAAAGGTGGGAAAAAGAAGGGAAAGAAGAAGGCAGGAAAAACAAAGACCCCAACCATTATTGATGGGGTTAGTACAGAGGAAATGAGCAAAGAACAGGCTAGTATATGTTTGCTGTATTTGGTGCAGTAAGGAGTAAAAAAAACTTCCATCAATGGGAAGATTATGTTATACAGCATTATTATTGCCAAATGTATTAGCAACAAGATTTTTTGTATTTGATTGTTAAGATTTGATAATGCCTGCTTTGCAAATAAACAAGTCAACCAAAGGAGTATTAAAAATTTCATGATAAAGGGAATTTAAATACAATACAAGGAATCATAGAAAAATAGTTAATGTTATGGATAGTACTTTCAACCCAATCTGGATATAAAATTGTGAGGAATGTCAAATAGAAAGTACTCAAGTAATCCTTATTTTATATTCTAGTGCTACCTTACAGCATCAATATTAATACATGATCTCTATTTGTTGCATTGCATTTTTATTGATATGCAGCAGTAAATGGAATTCTATTTGTCAAATTATATCATTTACTGATATTTATATTTAACTTAAAAATACATGGAACATTATTCTCAACTACAACCTTTTGATGCTTGCAGTTAGAGGAGCATATTGTGAGGCTGCGTGAAGAACTTGATCGGGAAAGAGAAGAAAGAAACTATTTTCAGTTGGAGCGTGATAAAGTTAACACATTTTGGGAAATTACGAAAAGGCAGTTGGAGGAGAAGAAGGCAGAATCACGGAATAAGGAGAGGGAAATGGAGGAAGCTGAAGAAAGGCATCAAGTTGAAATCAAAGTCTACAAACAGAAAGTCAAACATCTTCTTTATGAGCATCAAAATAACATCACTGAACTCAAAGCAGAAAGTAAGTTGCTTTGACCAAGAGACAATGCCATGCTTAGGCTTCTGTCTTTTTCCTGTTTTTTGTGACAGCAGCGAAAAAATTGATAACAAAATCAAACAGGCTTGAAAATATTGGAATTCCGTAAATTTTTTATGATTTTCGTAAGTCATAGTTCATTTGTTATTAAGACAGTTTGCTTCAATTGTATGTTACCATTTGTAATCTGTGCTGGCCTGAACTAGGTGATTATGGATTATAATATAAGCAAACAGTAACTCAAAGCCTTTCCCCTTCTGTATTCTATATTCAATTATTTCCTTACTTGTCACACCCCTCCCCAATCTGTGAAGTTCTTTGAACTAAAATGCTTATCTCAACAGAAAATAATATAGAATAATGCTAGTGCCGAGAGATTTCTCAGTTCAGAAAGGAAAGACTGAACTGTATAAGGTTGTGGCTCTGTAACTAAAGGCTCACTACAATTTTTGTACAAACTTTCAGTTGGAAATTTGTCGGTCGGAAATTTGTCACCCTGCAGCCTTCTAAAAATATCTGTCATTTTACGTTTCTGATAACTGATATAAGATAGTAAAGATAATAATAAAAACTTTTCAACTCAATTAAACTACAATTGAAAACCTAACTATTACATACAGTCTGCAAAAAATACGATTTGTACGCATTGTACGGCTATTGTGGTTCACGCCATCCAGCAAACACGTTTTTCAGATTTAATGATATTTACGCCCTTATAGGCTTAAAGGCCCTTATCAGTTCTTTTAAAACCTCTTAGGTGCTGTTGCATTGAAACTTGCCCAGGATGAGCATAGAGGCAAAGAACAGTCACTGGGAAAAGACAAGAGATCTCTTAAGGTAACTCGAAATTTTTTCAGGCTTGGGCAGTTTCAAATTCTGCATTTGCGAGTTTTGTGTGTTTGATCAATTCGCTCACTGTGAGCCCGGCTCAGTGGTAAGAGTCACGCGCTACAAATCTGACAGTCTATTGTTTGAGACTGACATAAATAAAGTTTCATTTAGAAAGAAGAGAATTGCCAGCTCTCTGTAATTTCAGCTGTAGGAATCCCGGCACGGGGTCACATCGAGAAAAAGACCAGGAAACTGCTCGTTAAGCATAGCTTCTCAGTGTCCTCAAACATATCTTTGAGATGCAAATTCCAGAAAATCAATTTGCGAAAATATTGGCTGTACAATTTTTGTAGGAAGTTGTTATTTTCTCTTCTGTTTGTAATTTTTTATACTTGTTAGTATCTCTGTTGGAAGTGCTGCTAATGTTGATCTGCAAGTTGCGATAATATCATATAGATAAAACAAGTGGTTGAATGCATCCGAACGGAAAATTTAGAAGAAAGGCTCAAGGACTAGTTTGTACCAACTTTCAGGGATCTTATATCTTTATTCAGACCACTCTTCCATAGTCGACTGACACTAGTCACATGGTTAAATGTAATATTCCCTAAGCAATTGAAGAAAATTGCTGAAATAATGAAAGGCTTCGGCACAATTTTCTTTACTCTGTTGCTACATAGCTTTGTGTATTTGATTCAAAGCTCCGTGATGCTATTTCTGCGCGTTCTTAGATTCGTAATCTTAAAATTCGTGCATACAACTGTCATAACTGTTGCCATTCTAAGTTCGCGCACGTGGAAAGTAGACCTCCATTTATCGGGAATTCAATTCTTAAACATAACCCTCAAGTAAAACACTCTCCTCAAGTAAAAGACATGGGTTTTTGCATAACAAAAAATTATGACAATTATACTTCTGATTTGTAGAAAGAACCGCCGCGGTGACAGCTCTTTTATTTGTAAATACAAATGCTTTCTCTTCTTAGTTTTGCATGAACTTGTAGAGAACGAGAATGTTATTAAAGAAGTGAACCCGGTCGGTTCCTGATGTTTTTGTTAAGGTTTCCGAATACTGGAAAGTTTGGAAGCCAAAGTAAGAGACACAAAACGTCAGTTCAGTACCTTGGTAGAAAGAATACATCTTTCTATTCTGAGGTGGGTGACACAGGGCACCTTGGTGAATCTTTTATTTACTATAAGTGGGTGAATTTAAGCACTGTAAGAATTCAAACTTGAAAAAATACTTTGAAATTTTCACTTTTTCAGGTGGAGCTGAAGGAACAGGAATTAGCAAACGAAGATATCATTAAAAATTTGAAGAGGGTAAGTTATGCATCATTGGGTGTACCTAATACTCGCCTTTCTCGCATTATAACAATCACATAAACCGAATTTTAGAATATTCCGCAGTAACGGAGGTATCTTTAGTATGGTAGCTTGGCATGTATTGCCTAAAGTCATTGAATGTTAGGAGTTTAAAGATCCCAGTCAAGAATGCATCCCCTGAAGGTAGTTGGAGCTTTTCATCAAAGCACTTCTTGCAAAATGAAAATTTGAATCATTTTCAAATGCATTTCTTTGTAGATAACTTGAATAGTTTGTTCATTTCTTACCATCCAAGACAATATATTTGAGCTATCTTTATCTCCACCTACTCTGTTTTCCCAAATCAAAGAGCACTTCTTAACTTACCAGGCCAACAGCAGAATCGATTTGACTGGCAAATCGAACAAGCCGTGATGGGAAAGAGCAATTTATGCACTATTTTGGAAGTAGCTTAACGAAAAGGAAAGACTTGATGACAAAATTTTGTGAATCCCTGAGTTTAACTAAGCTTTTTTAAGGTCTTGCATTTTTAAAACACGAAAATCAACTTGTGATACTTTATTTTGGACAAATACTCATCATTTTTAGGGGAAAGATCAAGATATAACTCAGTTAAGAGAGGATTTTGAAAGGCAAGCAAGAGGTAAATTGTTTATGAAAAATGATTTTTTCGTCACCCACAAATGCAGAAATTTAGAAAAAGGTTTATCTGCACTTTTTGGTAGCATCAGAAACATTGCAATATGGTTTTGCAGAGTAATACAATAAAAATATCTATCCATGACTTCATTAAGAGTAAACATTATGAACATCTCTAAGTTTTACTTCATAAAGCTTTTAGCCTAACACTTCATAATTTTCAAATGGAGTGTGATTGAAACTCAATTACCTGGTCGTACAACAGGAAATATCTAGTCTCATAATCTTTTCTAAAGGTTCTTAAATCTTTCAGATTCTTACTTGCCAATAAATTAATTTTAAGTTTGGAAGTATGTGCCAATCGGGTAACCACACGATCGTCTTTGAGTTCAAATTTAATGATTTTTCGGGATAATTTTGCTTTTTGGCCAGCTTTATGAAATCAGTGTCAGTGTTGGCGCCATCTTTATCACTGTTAATATACTCAACAACGTGTCTTTTTATGACGAATTTTCCAAGAATAGATCCACTTAAAGTTTTATTTAGTACATTTAAATCAGAGAACCGTACTATGTAATTGGTACTCCGACATCTTTCATAAGGGCTGTCAAATTTGTATGAAGAACGCTAGATTAATCATATGGAACTTATAATGTAGGTAATTCAATGCATAAACACTATAAAGAAGTTGTTATAAAATTGATGCTTTTCAAAATCTGAAACAACAAATGCAGGGTTTAATGGAAAGGGGTGGTATTGCAAACTGGATGTTAAGAGGGGGTGAATGTTAATAGGGGAAATATCAGAAAGAGTGGCTCGTAATGAAGTTATTGTGGTACTTGCAAAACAACGTTTTTACTTGGACCATAAGAGAACCTGGTAAGGAAGCGTAGAGGCTTTTTGTAAAGGTGACCAGGACCAGTGAATGGTTACTTGTTATTTCTTGTCCCAAAATTGAGATGAAGTTTAAGAAAAGTGTCGAGAATGAGAAAAATGGCATGCTTGTCACCAGTTTTCTTATTCTTGGGTCCGGCACAAGTCTCGTTTGGACACTTAAATTCCTTCTAGTTCTTTTCATATATTAACTAACTAGCACATCGCCATGTAAAAACTATCCAGAACGATCACAGAATTTTCAAGAAATCCAGAGGAAGTCTTTGCAAACACACCAACAGTAAAGATCCCTTCGAAAGTGACATTAAAAAGAAGTTTTATCAATTCCTAAGCATTGTTATAAATTCGAGTTTTTCAAGCTAATTTACTAATGACGAATCATATTTAGGTAACTCTGTAAAATTTTTATCATATATATGTATGTTTTTAATTATTTTTCGTATAACACACGGGATCCATAAAATCCTTAGCCCAAAAGACCAGTTACTAATGACCTTTTTTCCAAAATATAGTTGTGTTTAGTTACCTTTTCCAATATTCAATGATTTTTTAGAAAGCAGAATATTGTGTATCCTAACTTGAAATTTTATAACAATACTTTTTTATCTTTCATATCTTGAGCACACATGCTAATTGCTCAAGGCATGTTTAAGGCATAGGCAATAAATTCAGTATTATCTGGCAGTTGTAGAAATTTCATTGCAAAAATTTCATGATTTTGATTTTGTTTAGAAATCGAGGCAAAGTATGAAAAGAAGATGAGGGCACTCAGAGAAGAGTTAGAGTTGAGACGGAAAACAGAAATACATGAAATTGAAGAGGTATTTTTCATTATTTTCTTTCATTGGTAAGCAACAAAAGTGGCGTAATAGGGTGTCATGCAGGGTAGATGGCCCCCTAAAATATTCACATGACACCCAATGTGCCTTTTCAGCCTGTGTTTAAAGGTCGGTTTCCACTTGAGCAAAAGCTTCAGCGAATTCGTCAGCGATTGGAATGTCTTTTGTTTTCCCGGGCATGGGCGAATTCGCTGGTGAAATGGGAAGGTTGAAAGGAATTCAGCTTCCCCGCGAAACACAATCCACATTGTTCTGGGAGAGGTGGAAGTTGATATTTTATGCACGTAAAAAGAAGATTTATATAGAAATATTTTTTTTGGCCGGCGTTATAGCTTTCGGCACTGCGACTTATTTTGAAACTTTTGACATTTCGAGCTTCAGAAAGGAGTAAATCAAACATGAATATATGCTTAAGAAATTATCCATTGCATTTACTAAGAATCTGACATTGCTTGTCGGTATGTTGTATTTTGAGCCTTAGTGCTACACTGGACACGATAAAATGTCGCACAAAAGACAAAAAATTGCAAATCGTTGATAGATTACAGCGTCAATTCTTTTTTGTCGCTGTCATTAAATTTTCAAAACTTTTCAAAAATTTTCAAAAGGATTTTCGTGTTTATTTTTCGGTTAAAGTTTACGTAAGTTACCCAAGTATTTGGTTGTGATTTACCTTGCAATATATCTTGAAATTTTACATTGTTTATCTTTGCGTTGTTCGAATCGCGCCGGAACAGCAATATGCCAGCGAATCAGGTGACATTTCAAGGAAAACAGCATCATAACGTCGAAGTTTTTTGTTTCATTTAGCTAAGTGTAAGAATTTCGATATAATTTAGGTCAAAAGGTACCGAAATTCGACTTCAAACGGTGCAGAATGTGCTTTGTGAATCTTTTAGGCTTTCATGTCGAAGCAAAAATGCCTTGAAAAAGCCAAATTTGCCACTAAAAGGTGAATTTTCCGAATGTGTTACTTGCTATGTACTTATGGGTTAGCAGGTTGGTCAAGCAAAAATTTGTTCTATGGTCATTCTGTTGTAGTTTGATGCTAGCAAGAACAGTGCAATCTTGCCCTGCCATTAAAAAATCGGTTATACAGGGAAAAATCAAAAGAACCCGACTTTAATTTCCTAATAGCGAGAAACTCGTGATAGCGATCATTCTTAATAAGCATGACACGTAAAAGTAGGATTTAGTTTGTAAGGAGTAAAACCTTGCGTGACCTTGCTATCGGATGCTTCACGCCAATGATTAATTCATAACATAAGAAGTCTTCGTTGGCAAGTAGACTTAATTCTTCCTTTCAGAGAGAAAAAATCTTTCTTATCAGCAAGTAAATGCGCGGGAAATTCTTCCCGTTAATAGAACTGAGTGAATTAACTAGAGTTTCCTTGTCTTGCTTGGCGTGATTTCGTTAAGCTAGAACCAACGCACTTACTAATTGATCAAAAACACACGAGGGATTATGTTTTATGCAAATAATGAAGTTGAATTTATTTAAGCTTCAGGATTTTTCAATGACACGTTGGAGAAATTTAAAAGTCTGCACGCAATCTAAGAAGTTATTTACAGCTTCCGTAGCAAAAGAAATTTCATGTTCATTTTCATGCAGAATATGTTTGCAAACTTCGGAAGGTCTTCTGGAATGCAGATATTAGGGGAAATTTTAAATTCTTTGCCAAAAATTTTGGAACACCAACCGCAATCTTGATGTTTTTGTCCCTCCTGCATTACAATTTACCCATAGAGATAAATTTACCTAACTTTCAATTCTAATGATAATTACTGTTTGTAGAGCGTAAACACGCGATGCCATACAAGTTGATTTAATAATATATTGTTACCAGTGAGAATGTGCCTTTGCTGGACAAATTGACACCTTTAATAAAGTAACCAACATTGTACGGAGGAGAGGATTCAGCCGCAGCTTTGATAACTTTGTGATTTAGATTTATCTAAGGGCTGTAAAATTCGGAACTTGAATATTGTGGTGTTACAAATGTTTTTGGTAATGATTCTAAGCGTCATTAGAAAGCGGCTTTGACGTCATAAAATCAGTCCAAGTTAGGCCTTTGATTTATGTTCCACATTCTGGGGTTACATATGGAAATTCAGTTCAGTTCACTTTATATCTACAATTCCACTGTATGGGTACAATTCATTAATAGTACAACAGAGAATAATAATACAAATATTTACAGCGGATGGCCTCAGTCACTCGAGGGTGCTTTTCATGAGGGTCCTTTATTTAACTTATTGTATCGATTTACTAAAAACATTACAATTTAAAAGAATAGTTCATCATAAAAAGGGATAAAATCAGTTCACATTGTCCAAAACCTTTGTTTGAAAATATTAGAGTTTCCTGCCAACTTAATGTTTGTGTCCAGTTTATTCCAGTCATCAACAAACAGATAGGATGACACTTACTTCCCCAAATTTGTCCTTACTTTAGATAGATGGTTTTGCTTATACTGTATACTGAACCTACACAAGATAATAGATAAGGATAGAGTTGTGAAAAGGGAATGAAAGGTGGAAGTTCTCTCAATTTTTAGCGACTAATTGGTGTAATCACCTATAGTACAGAAAAATTGATCAATCCAAAACGACGGAAATCGCATTGGGCTTTTCAAAAATTGCAATAGGCTTTTTACACTGCTAAGTTATTCTAAACTTTTCTCCAGACTTCAAATAGATTTCAAGTGGTTCTAATGACTTTTTTTAAGTCAAAATCATTGTGTTGGTGAATACACTCTCCTTTTTATTAGAACACGAGCCTCAACATTAGTCAAAAGGTAAGAGCAAAGAAAGAACAAGCTGAGGCTGGGCTACTGTAAAATGCAATTTTGAACAACGTTTTATCTCAAAACGAGGATTTTTGCTATGTATTGGTGCTTTTTCGAAGAATATTCAAACTTGTCAACAAATGTATGTGTCTCGCTCACTTTGTTTGCAAATGAGACCTGGACATCTTCCTAGAGCGAAATAGCTAGCAATCACACTGCGTACACTCTATTATTTTAAGAGCAAGACACATTCATTTTCGAGAAAAAAATTAAGAACAGTCAGCCTAAACTTAAATTTTCCGGTTCTTATGAAAAAGAGGGTATTCGCATTGACTGAGTCACCGACTTCCATTTCTGAGTTCCTTAAAACGATTCTTGCCTAATGCCATTGATATCTATATGACGATAGCTTCTGAAAAATTTGATAACAAGTTACGCATTGTCTTTTCATTTATGTCATTACCCCTTGTTTCTTTTAAAAAGTCATACGAAAGAGCCTTTATTTTGTTGGAAAATGTTTCCTCTCATTCATGAAATCTTGTTATGTAATTGGAAAAGCATAGCAAAGGTGCAGATTAGATGCATAACTTATTTTTTCCTTTGATGTAAATTTTTTCTGTCATCCTAAAATTTCGCATTCAAGCAGTATTTGTTTAAGTAGTTTCTGTTTTTGTTTGTGAGTAGCTTTCTATAATGCTTCAATATTTGATTCTTTTTTAGAGAAAGAACAGTCAGATAAACACATTAATGAAGAACCACGAAAAAGCATTTAGCGATATCAAAAATTATTATAACGACATAACACTGAATAACTTGGCACTGATCAATTCATTAAAGGTATTCATCAGTATCTGATAAGTTCGTTTTTTCCGACAACAGTAATAAACTTCCATGTTGATATCCGATGTTAGTAGCAAGTTAAATTACTTTGTATTTCCTTCATAAAATGATTTTATGAGTTGCTTAATTGCTTTTTTAAAGCGGCTTCCAGAATGGAATTTCAAATTGGTAAATAAAAAAGATGATTGCTTTTATTTGCTTGTATTGCGTAATATTTTGCTGAGTAAAATGTCAACTCAACCAAACATGTGTTCATCGGAAGGGACAGAGCCCCCAAGATATCGATAAAATGTAAAAACCAAGTAGATCGAAAACCTTGGTTTCCCCACCCCCCTCCTTCACAGTTTCTCCTGAAGTTCCTTATCAATTATTGATTTGAATAAACATGGCAATTCTTTGACATTATTGTGTTTTTCTAAAAGGAACAAGTGGAAGAGATGAAGCGAAAGGAGGAAAGGATGGAGAAGCAAATGAACGAAATAATGGCAGAGAATAGAAGATTAACAGAGCCGCTGCAAAAGGCGAGAGAGGAGGTGCAGGAGCTTCAGAAAGAGGTACACGTGATAGCATAAGTTCCAAATCTTTGATTGGCTGAGCGACCAAAATTCTGCATACCTCATTAACCAATGAGAATTCAAGAATATGACAACAAACGTGCCTCGCAGCTAAATTTAGGCCAATTTTGGACGTTTTTACCACTGCCCACAAAAAGAAGTGGTGTATAAAGTGCTGAAAGATAGCCTAAATATTCTTTTAAAAATTGAATCTTTGATGAATTTACAAAAAAACTGCCGTTGTACTCAGCAAAAATTTGTCCGCGATCGTTAGCTACGGAAAGGCATGAAACTGTCCCTTTCAAATCTCTTTAATAATTAGGAGGGAGGGAGAACAGAAAAATTACAGATTTTAAACCTTAAAAGTTGGTTTGTCCACATAATTAACAAATATGAACTTACCTTTACAAGCCAATGTTGAAATCTTTTCTTGTCGGCATTGATGTTTGTGTTAACGACAAAATAAATCGCTAAATTCCACTGAGAGAAATTGCAATCCACTTTTCTCTTAAAATAGCTACAATTGTACAATTTCTTTTGCGCTCAGTTACTTTTAATATTCATTTTAAAGACTTTGAGACTGATGAGAAGCTCACATCCACTGATGTTCACTGCTACGGCTGTGTAAAAGCTGACACAATTCATCAAGGATGAAAAGGGCGGGAAAATGAAATGAAATGCTACACGTGATTGAATTTTGTGTCACATGGGACTGGAAACGATTTTGCAAATAACAAAGGATTATAATTTTATTCTTATTCATTTGTTGATTTTGATGACAAGATTCTTGAAACGCGCGGTTTTTGTCAAATCAGGTTAAGTCAGCTTCTGAGATGCATTGAGCAACTTTCATTCTCATTTTGTTGACGTTGCCATTCAGTCTGTTTCTGACTTAAAATACAAAAAAAATCCACTTGAATATTGCACGGCTGCAAAAATATCTGAAAAGAGCGTAGAAATCAAGCTCGAAGCTGCGTGACTTTTCATTGCCATAACCAAAGAAAAATTTATCTTACATTAATAGAATCAGCCATATTTATATTATAGAATCATGTTTAGGCCCTGCATTTAACACTAGATGGAGGGCTCTCACGGAGATCACAGGCCAGCAACAATTCTATGTTGTTTTTATAACATTTATTTGAATCTGTTCAAATTGTTTTTCTTAGCTTGCAAATTACCAAAAGGACAAGGCTTCTTTGGCAGTAAGTTTTTAACATGATTTCTTTCTAATTTCAATACCTCACTCTTTATGTATATCTTTTCATGTTCTGCATTGCATTTTTTTGTATTGGAATGAAGTAAACCATTTTCCTGTACTGGGATTTTTATTTTGGCACAATATTTGAAATGAATTATTTTTTAAGATTTTATGATAGCTTTATCCAGCTCCACTTGGTTTCAGTAAACAAAAAGTGCAATAAGGAAGATTGTCCAACGACCCTTGTTTTCGATAAATATGATGGTATTTATCGGTATAGCAATGAATTCCAGAAAAAATGAGACAAATCATTAGAGAAATGTTTGATATCGTTCTTCAATTTGGTCTTCCTAACTTGTGTCTTCAAAAACGGATCAAAATGCGCAAGTGTGAAACTGCTCAATTAGACGTCTAATTAATTAAAAGTGCCTTTTTGAGACTTTTATCATATACCAAAACAACTGTGATACTTTTGGTGTAGAGTTGGAACAATTTTAGTTTGATTATATTGACATCCTAAAAGGAATATGGAATTGAGTCATCTATGACTTTGTATTGAGTAGGCATGTTTGTTAGTTCGTTTCGATTCATTACTTTGTTCATTAAACGACTGTGAAGCAGAAACCTTCTTGAAACTACTGTCTCGTTATTACGCGAAGTTTAGATATTGGGCGCGGGAGCAATGCAATATATCAGACACCAGACGACAAATATGTATCTTCTAAAATAGTCAGTGATGGGAACAATATATTGGTCTGCCAAAAACACCATTAGTGTTGCGATATAATGAATAATCTTTTTGCCGCATACGCAAGTGAATATTGGTATCATTTATTCGCTTGCTCTATGCAAATGTATTTTTTACAGATAGGCTTTATCATATCACGCATATTTTATCATATCACGCATATTTTATCATATCACGCATATTTTATTAACATTTCAGTATCATAGCTTTGTAAACACAGCCCCCAATTGATTTACTAGTTTGCATCTGTAAATATCATAAAATAATAAACAAGAGATAATAGTTTTCTTATTTCCTGAATTTTATATGCCCCTTCTCGGCCCTCTAGTCTTGAGGCATATGTGAAAAGTTAGATGGACCATATTTAAGCTACAGTTTTGAAAAAGAAACAGAATAGAGGACATTTGAACGAGCTAGCATTTACTTTTTGTATTTGTCAAATCTTTTTGTGGAGAATCAATTTTGCGTTACCATCTCACTGCTCATCGAGGCTTGGAAGTTTTCTTTGTTTATCTTCCAGAACTTGATGGATGACTTTAAAGATGGCGTGTTAGTTTTAAAAAGAGGCAGTTTTGTCTTTTGTCTTCTATTTTGCTTTTAAAAAACATTAGGCTCATATTATTATTTTTTGTAATTTTTTAGATTTAGGCTCATCTTAAAATGGCATTGTCTTGATAGACATCCATCAACGAAAGTGACACAATGATAAGTTGAGTAGAATAAGTTTGCTGACTTATCAAATCATTTCAGAGTGCCAAAGCAAGGCTCAAAGTGAGAATGGAAGAGCTGAAAAAGCTGGAATGGGAGCATGAAGTATTGAAACAACGTTTTGAGCAGACACAAGAAGAGAGAGACGAACTTTACGGGCGGTTTGTCAAAGCGATCCATGAGGTGCAGCAAAAAAGTAATTTTAAGAATCTGCTTCTGGAGAAGAAGTTATCAACTCTGGCCGATACATTGGAGAAAAAGGTTTGCAATATTTTCACGCTATTCTAATTTAGGTACAAACTGCGTATCAAGGCCACTGCTGGGTCTCGCAAATGTACCTGCGAGGGCCAGCTTGACGGCCAAAGAATAAATGCAATTTATAATTTTGAATAAGTTATGCAATTACCACACGACACGTGCAAAGCAGTTTAGATTAAAATCTACTCAGTCTTTTGGCCAAGGATTAATCGCCAGAAACAAAACCATTGATGACCTTTTAAGATCTCTGGTCAATTTTCTAACTATGATGATGGCCTTATAATCTCAACTGAGTATAACAGGGCATGCAACAGACTTTAGAAAAATGATATTGACAGAGATTGATAATTTTTTCTAATTTCAAAATCTAATTCATTTTCTTTGTTGCAATACCAACCTAATTTTTTCTAAAAGTTTTTAAACCGAGTACCCCTCGTATGATTTTGAGCTTGCACTGAAACTGGTAGCAGTATTAACCTTGTGCCATTCCCCTGATTTTGATGCTTCATCTTTAAATAAAAAATATTATAAAGAACATTTCATATAACCTACATAAACTGTTAATCTTACGTAAGTTTAAGTTACTGGCACACCTGCTCAACTTTCTAACTATGATGATGACGTCATAATTCGCTTTGCTCTTGATCGAAATGATGTAATTATACTATTAACTCATGAACAATTTCAAATTTGCCTATTGCTGCCTGGATGAATCTTGCAGCTGAGAAAACTGCCTTATTCCTTCGTATCAGAATCGACCTATGTCAATAAATGTATTATATAATAATTTGACCTGCTACATTACATAATATTTGTTCTTGGTTGATCTTTATCAAAAAAATTTTATGTTCAAACATTAAATAGGAATTGCTCGCGTTGGTCTAATTGGCCTATTTCTATCCACAACCGGGTTAATATTTTCTCTCTTGGTCTTTTTTATCCTTTTTCTGACGTTTAATACTCTGAAGAGTGTCAGACGAAAAGCTTCAGTATTTTGTAAAATGTTTGATCTTTCAAAACCATTTTCAAGTTTTGTACCGCTAAAAATTGTTCACAAATTGAACACTGAAATAGAGTCGCCAGCGATTAAATCTACCAGCAATGGTAATAAACTGTTTAGTAGTTCACTTTATTAAAGTTTCTTTTTTACATAAACATATAACATACCAATGGATACTGTTAATTATTCTTGCTAAGCCAAGACTCTTAAACTCGGTTCGCGAATCGACAATGCTTGATCTCCATAATTGGAACAACCAAAATGGGATTGGTAATACCACATAATCTTCTTGCCAATATACCGCAATAAATACATGTGCGCAAGAAAATAACATAACTCAAAAGATGGGGAGGATTTTTCAATGGAAAATTGCAGCCAAAATAGATGTGCACCCATCTGCACTCGTTCCCACTAATTTTTCTTGTGTCATTTGTCTTTTAGATTTTAAAAATTTTTGTTATTTCTGCTGGAAACGTCATAGATTTTTGACTTGGAACATGTCAAGCAACTTTGTTTTCGTTAAAAATAATTGAATTCACCAAGGCTTGATTTTATGACGAATAAGTCCATCAACAGCAAGTCATAGCTCAGTTTTAGCTGGACTTTATATCGTTTTTATTAACAATTTTTCGAATCACATTACCTCCAAAGACATTGCAACCTTGAGCTGTGGCCATTGGTTTTTGTTTTTCGTATGACCTTAACAGATGGTGGCCTAATGCAATCCCTTTATGTGTCAAAAGCTGCTTAAAGCAAACTATCCCTTGATACTGTAATAATACTATGTAATAATATGTAATAACGTTTGTTGTTAAAACCTTCGTTTTCTTTCACACAGGAGGCACAATTAAACGAAGTCCTAGCAGCTTCAAATTTGGACCCAACTGCATTGACTGTTGTCACACGAAAACTAGAGGTAAGAGATAATTGAATTACTGGAAGTCATATCATAAAAACATTACTGGAAAATTAAAAAAATTTCATATCTTTAAATATTCATAAAAGATCTTGAATATTCCTTTGTTTTTAATTAAATAGTATTTAACAGATGCCTCGATCTTTTTTACCATAATGTATCTAGAATTTTTTTTTCACCATGAACGACCTATAGTTCATTTGATGTACTGGCAACCAAACCTGGAATAGTGAATTGATCTGACGTATAAACAGATAACGATATATTAAGATGTGTTACAAAATATTTGACATAAAACTAATTTAGCTAATTAAATGTTATACGTATAACAGGAAACTAAATGCGCAAATATTATAATATATAATGGCGCGAAAACCTAGCCGGATTTAAATATGTAATACAAGCGGGAAACAGAATCAATTGTATTAAGACAAAGGTTTAATTCTCATGAGGGAATGAGGGGGGAATTGCCGTTCTCATGAGAGTATGCGTGCCGCGTTTTGAGATGTGTGCAAGAGATGAAGAGAAGCTTTTGTCGTGCTTTTTCATTTCCAGTGTAATGGGTTGCTTTTTTTATGGTAACAACTAACAACTACACTATTTTTATTAGAACCAGTCGAAAGTTCAGGCTGGTTGTTCTTAATTTTCTCCAAAATCTGAGGCTGGATTGTTCCTAACTTGTTCTTAAGATATCAGTGTGTAAGCAGTGCAATTGCTAGTCATTGCGTTCTAGGGAGGTGTTCAGGCCTTATTTGCCAACCAAGTGTGTGAGGGTGATATCCTTTATTTTAGGTTTGGAATTTCATTCCTAAATGGCCGAAAAAAGCACTCCTAGATGGCCAAAAATACCTTGTTTTCCAAATAAAACATTGTTCAAAATTACATTATCCAGGAGCTCAGCCTCAACTTGATCTGGATTTGTTTTTAGCTGGTGTTCTCATAAAAATGTTCTTATAAAGAGAGTGCAGAAGTAGAAAATCCCTTTATTGCTTAGTTCTCCGGTTTTAACATTGTGTTTCACTATTTCCTCAGCAATGTTTTCAGGGGAGTAAAAGTATCAAGCTGACTAAACAACCAGAGTTTCAAATGCTCACGACTGCTTTATCTCTTGTTATGATTGCGTCACAAACCGAGCTTGATAATCCCTTATCTCCGTTGCTGTTTCTAATGTCATCGGTAAATTTCTGGATATATGTGCTGCCAGCAGATTAATATATTTCTAGATTCAGAATATATATGCTTCGCTCCTTTGACAACTTCGTTGAATAAACATAGTCCACGATAAGAAATAATCCCTCCATTATACTAGCAAGTCAAATTATAAGAGGATACCGTCGAGGCCAACTTATGATTGGCTTAAAGTGGCATTGTCGCGCCAAAAGAATACAGTACCGAAGTGTGACGTCATAAAAAATTTATTTCTAGAATTTCTCAATTTTGACCACATAATGTAAAAGAACGAGATAAAAGACCTTTCATAGTGCAAAATCAACTAGATATGTTCAAAATTGGGAGAGATATGGCCAATGAAAGATTTCAAGTTTGCTAGCGGATCACTGTTATTCTGGCCTGGTTCTTAAGGTTATGAGCCAAGACCAAATTACAAAGATTTAATAGGGGAAGAGCCTGTGCTCAAGTGGCCATTTATCAGCCAATTCGTAATGCCTTTAACTGATTTTGCATATTTGGAGGTATTTCATGATGCTGTCTCAGTTTATGGGATTTAAATTCAAAATTTCTAAAAAAGATTTTTTATGACGTCATCACTTCGGTACTCTAATAGAGTAGAGTTTATGTCAGAATTCCTGCGTTTAATGGCGCCGTTTCTCGACATCTTCCAAACCATAAAACTAGAATTTTTTTGTAAATGGCCTATCCATAGCCACGATTTTGACGGGATATCCTGACACAGGAGAGCGAAAATTTTGTCGCTGACATATTTTAGGTTTTTGCCGATTTTATCGATGTTTGATTTTTTTTAGTACAATTTTATCTGTAGCGCACCAGTAAAATTTTCCCTTATCTGCACTCTGCTCAAAATCATATCGATTGTTTGAGTTTTTACAGAAAACCTGTACCTGAAAGTGTCGATAATAACCAAGGAGTGAATATTGATATACGACTGGCTGCATTCTATCATGTTGTTAGAAATTTCAAATTAGCCCGTTGCAAAGGTTGCGAATCGCTTTACATGCTCTTGTCGCTACCCCCACTTTATAATGAACATATTATCACACTGTATTTCTTAAGAACTATGAAAGATCTATGTTATGTTATGTTATGTTATGTTATGTTATGTTATGTTATGTTATGTTATGTTATGTTATGTTATGTTATGTTATGTTATGTTATGTTATGTTATGTTATGTTATGTACGAAATCAGCACAAAAACCAAGAAACTGAGTATTAATCTCAGGATTAGTTTCTTTAAAAGAACCTATGTATGCACCCTTTTGTAGTAAAAGAATTCACTGCTGCGTTTTAAGGTCTTTGTGCTCTTCCTTAAGCCACTGCGTTATTCATCGAAGAAATGAGAACATCGATCAGCTGAAACTGAAATCACTGGGCAAGAGCAGTGATTTGTTTTGTCTTTTTTTACACGCATTTTTATGAGAACACTTTGCTCCAGTTTCAGCCTGGCGTTCCTAATTTTTTTCGCATAATTGCAGTTTCGCGTGTTTGTTTTTTTATCTTAAACTGATATCGATGGTGTTGAACTGGTTTTGTTATTATAATTGTTTCAATGCTATTTTGCTTATCGCAATTTTTGCTGGTACTTTATTTTGTGAGTTTTGTTGAATCTCACCCTGCCTAATTTCATATTTTGTTCTTATTTTTTGATCAAATCTCAGCCTGATGTTTCTTGTAAGGGTTATTTCTATTGAAAAACGTGTAGCGGTCTATTGCTACCTATCACTTAAAAATAAAATTCAAAGTCTGGTTGAATAAGGGAGTTAGTCATCCCACTGTCCAAACAGTTTTTTGCCACTCTTTTTTATTTGATGAATTCTTAGATTTTGTTTTTATACTCAACAGGATGTTCTCGATTCCAAAAACAGCGCCATCAAAGACCTTCAATATGAGCTTGCGAGAGTCTGCAAAGTTAGTTTATTTTTCGATATAACAGTCACCAGTCCTTCTGTATTGACATTTACCAGTTTTATGTCTTTTTTTGGTCTAGTCAAAGAATAGATAGCATTTGTCCTCTAAAAAAACAATCAATATTGCATTAAATACTTGCTCCAACTATCTTTAAAATCTCCAATGACAATTCAAATTGTTATCTTTTAACCATCCGCTCCAAGATCAATCCCACTTCACGATTATCACAAGCTCTTTCAGATAAAGGTCATTGTTAAATTTTATGTATTCTTGTGATCACCTTTTAGTCTCTTAAATAATACATATTGCACCCGCCTCTTCAAAATCAATAGTTTTGTTAAATTTTCTGTATCATTATTATAAACGTTTTGGTTTTTAGAACCCACTGCTCTAAAACGTTTTCTTCATCCTTTTATCGTTCCTGGAATTGGCTCATTTTCAAAATTGCACAAGTTATGTAGATACTTTCATGCAAGACTTGAAACGATAAGATTAAATTTTGACGTGCCAGATTTTAGTGTCCCGCAGTAACCTTTAAAGACCTTTACGAATTGTTGTATTTCTGACAAAAGTGATTGCCAAAAAGCAACCATTATTAAAAACATATTTGGTGAAGCAAACAGTAGTATTTGATGAAAACAATTGTCCTTTTAAACCACATCAATTAATTTCCGAAGTTGTTTTCTCAGCGCAAGCAATCTCCAATATGCAGATCATGTGCACAAACATGAGTTCGACCCTTTGACCCAGTTTTACGAGTTTCCTTAATAGAAAACTGTATGCCTGATTGTTTTAAAGATGAATGTCAAAATACTGCCCGGTGTTGCAAAAAGAGACAATTCAACCACACGCCCATAAATTATTCGACCATCTTTTGAATTTAAATAGAGATACCAGCATGAAATGGCTGACTTTCTGCAATAATGATAACATGATCGAATTTAAACAATTATTCCTACTGTGAGTCCTTCAATGCTGCCTAATAAGGTTTTTGACCTTTCATAGTTATTCATGGCGGAAAGTCTTGAGTATCCAACAACTGGCATTCACGTGGTAAAATGTTCACTGTGGTGCAATCATTTGCCATGTAGTTCATGCATTGCACGCATGAATCATTGATCAGCTATAATTATCGCAGCCATCTTAGTGGGAGTTAAGGTTACAAAGTATTGATAGGGTGTTTAGAAAAGATGGTACCCTCTTGTTAAGAATCAAGTTTAAAATATCAAATTTTTGCAATGAAATTAGAGATTTCACGTGAATAGAGATTGCTGAAAATTTTTTTGGTCTTTTACCAATGAGTATTTTGTAGAAAATGTTTTAACAAGAAGTATTTTGTAGAAAAAATTATGGCAGATACAATTTTGGCCGTAGAGGTTTGTGCTGATGGGTTACATAACTTTTTACCCCTCCTCTCTTTATCTAATTATATTGAATGTGAACATAAGATACTTGAATCAATGAGATTGGTTGCTATTCCTAGACGCCACCTTTTTTAACCGCGTTATTTCTTTATTTAGGCTCACAACGACCTGATACGCACCTACGAAACCAAACTGCAATCCTTTGGCGTGCCAACAGACGAGCTTGGATTCAGGCCCCTAGAAAGCAATGTCACTGGTCAACAGCTTGGGAAGGGGCCTGCGGGGCTGGTGGCACAACCAACATGAACAGAATTGCATTCTCTATTTACTGTAAAAAATATTACATTAAACACGTACCATTTAACTGCTAATCCTTGTAAAATATTTGTTTATATGAAAATAATAGTATTATTCATCTTTGTTCAATTCTATCTATACTGTTTTGGTGACACAAAAAATTCCTTTAAAATTACATCAGGCTAGGGCTCCAAATAGCAAGTGGATTTGTTATGGATTTTGCAAGTGGATTTAGAAGACATTCAAACCAGGATTTCATGTTGGCCGTTAACTTTTGTAAAATGAGTTTATCCCGTCTCACATTTCTTAATGCTAGTTTAGTTTTTAAATTGAGAATCGATTTCTGGTAATCAAGAAAGCTTTGAGTTTTGAAAGATTTGAGGTTGTTTTGGAAGATTTAACTGACAGAGGTCAAATTTGAAAGTAGCCACAGAAATGGCGGAGAGTATTATGTGAGGGCAAATGCCTGTCTTCCTGGCCATTGGATCGGTGTCCTGGAACTTACATTATTGGGTATAAGAATTTGTAATAATTTTGTACAAATCTTGTCTAAAGAGATTTACTAAAATGTGTGTCGCCATTTCAAAGACTAGGGCTATCATTATGAAATATTCTTAAACTGATGCTCATTTCAAATTGCATGTAATGTCTTTGGTTGCAGTACAGTTAAACAGATATCAGTTAGTGACTCGTCATCGAAAAATCACTGAAGTATCAAGAGTTGTTTCCAAGCTTGCGCTAATGAAATCGAGGTTATTATCCCTCTTGTCTCTCCGAGGTTATTATCCCTCTTGAAAGCTGAAGCGAGTAAGAGCAGCAATTGTTCTTTGATGACCTTGTTGTTTGTTAGAGCTTGCTCGATGACCCCTTGTCAAAGAGTGGCACGAGAAAGGAAGCTTGTGGTATAGGCAAAAACAGCGGAATTTTGTCTGCAATCAATATACAGAGTTTTTGTACGAATTGTAATAGTTTCAGAAATCCTCTTGATGAAAAGTCTGTTCTTACAGTCACTGCCCGTGAAACCATGCCCATTCGGTTTCGGGGTGTAGCATCCACAAGACATTAATCTGTGTAGATTTACTGAATGTGAAAAAACTATAATCATTGGCTAGTTTTACAGGACTAGGCTCCTTCCCGCTACCTCCCGGCAACTCAAGTAAAGTTTCATAAAAGTCGATTGGGTAATCTACCCTCAACGGCATTAGATACGACTTTCTCTTATCGTCCCTGTTTTCGGAGCTGTTTTAGCAATAGCTTACTGTGATGAAATCTGATTGACGAAATGACCTTGGGAATTGTGCATATCAAGAAAAAGAATTCATGACCACCCATTACCAAACAGGGTAGCTTGATAAATACGACAAAGAAAAGACAATACGAAAGAGTGGATTTCTTTTTGGCTTGAGCTTAGCTGACCCAGAGTGCGATTACACCCCGCGACTATAAGATTACGTTGGGTTTTCATTTGGGCTACATTTATCATCTTGTTGAGCAATAGTTATGAATGCTTAAAACAAAAACTAATCTGGGCAAATATCATTTGATCAGCAATAGGCCATTCAACCTTGTAACTTCATTTCTTATTAAGGTATGTTTGATATCCCCTACAACATCGATTGGCAGTTATATTTTTAAAGAAAAGTTCCTTCACATAATTTTCATCCGGGCTGGTCCCGAGCAAAAAGACCTATCTCTTGTCACAAGATGGCGACGCACTGTGCCACTTGTAAATGTCTTCCTTATTGTTGTCCCTATCATTAGAAACAGTTGCGCAACAAGTAATCTGGGGCTCCCGGAAACAAGGGAGCCAATTTAATTACACGGCTAAAGATTTTCAAGGGCCCCATTTCTACACAATTCGCTCGGGCACCAAGAGTTCCCCGGGCTTTTTATCCCAATCTTTCTATTCGAGATGGAACAGGGGTAGCGGTTGTGACAAACCCAAAATGGCCCGGGGAATCCGGACAATTCAATACAGAGACAGTGAGAGACCTGAATACCTTCTCAAGTTGTTTAACAATTTTTGTGAAATTTTACGGAGGCTTTCAGCTTGTATCCCTTCCTTCGAACTGACAGCGAAGCAGATATGGCCAGATTAGATGAACAATGCAAAAGTGACTGTTTTTAAAGACTGTTGCACACCTTCTTGATGACTGTTGCACATTGTATATGTATTTTTAACATTACATTAATTTCTCATTGAAAAGTCTTACTCCAGTCTTTTCCAGAAATCTGTGTCGCATTTGACAGAAACATTTTGGAGAATCATTTCAAGACCAAGGAATTATCCAGAATTATGATAGACCATCTCCTTCGCAGAAGTCCACAGGAGGGAATAAATACTCCTCTCTTAAGCACAAAATAGACTTGGAGCAAGTCTAGAGTTATGACGATTCATTGCTTGGTTTTAGGAATCACAGGGGACTGCATAAACTCCGCCAGCCCAACTTCCACTCCGCGGTCCCTTGCCTGGGGCAGCTTGCATTCCAGTTTCTTTTTGGGGGTGATGTACACGAGGATAACAAATGAATTGCAACGATGGCATTTGTGCTTCTCAAAAACGAGATCAAAATTATTTTCGTTTTCAAGATGGGTTAATGTCCCGTTGCCTTCCAAAGGTTTCACTTTCTTCTTTTTCCAACCATAACCACACTGGCTTCAAGCGTAGGCACCAGGTGGGCACAGGCGGCAATCTCCACTTTTCAAAAATTTAGGTAGAATGCCCCTTTGCACCTTACAGAGTTGCCTTTTCTTGTTAGCTGCATAAGCAAAAAATGCCCTTGAAATCCTTATCAAAATGAGCAAAGAAAGCAGGGAAAGACCTTGTTGGGGCCATGATCTAATATTTCTCCATCTTCTTCTGCTTCTAGAAACATCAAAACCACAAACTCACAGCCAGGGCCGGAGGGCCTCTAGGTTTAGGAGGCCTCAAAAGCCAACGGAGTCCATTTCAAGAAAGCAATAAGTAAGACTTCACAAAAGCATGCCAAAAGTACTACAAGGTTTCAAACGATTGCAAGAATATCCGTTTTGCCGTCTTCGAAACCTCTCGGCGGCACAGCTCACAACTAAGCCAGAAAATAATATCTTCACGCTTTTCTAAAAAAGAATCAAGTCTATAAGAGTACCAAGGCTCAAAATTACTGAATTTTAGGAATAATTTAAGAATAATGCGATAAAGAGGAAAAAGTTGTTAACCTTCCTCCAGACAAAAACATCCTAAACCTTCCTCACAAAACAATAGAAAGTGGGCGCGGCTTGGGTGTGTCATAGGAGCTTCTATTGTTTTTTGTGGACCTTTTCTCCGGTCAGTGGCCGTGCGACCGTAATGTTTTCCTGACTCTGTGTAAGGCTCAAGCTTTATAAAGAATTGAATTTTTTTGTCTATTTGAGTATTTTTTTGAAAAACAATAATCTTTGTTTCAAAATGAAAAAATTAAGAATATGGAGGCTCAGCAAAAAATTCGGTATTGTTATAAAAAGTGTGTATCATGTAACATTGCTGCCAAGTAACGTCCTTTTTAACCTTTCTGGGATTTTTGTTAGGTGCCCCTTAAACCAGCTGCCCCCACTTTTTTAAAGCTCAGGGCCTCGGATGAAGGGGGCATGCCCCCCACTTTTTTCCATAACAACAGAACCTTTTTCAAAACTCTTTTGTTATAGCTGTTAAAATTGTCCTTGGCCCCTCACTTGCCAACCTGTGTCGGAGCCCATGATGCTTCCTTAGGCCTTGACCACGTTGAATTCACTAACCGTTAACCAGAAAATCTTTGGGAAGTTAACTCGTTTGAAGTACTTTTATCGACGTCACATGCTCCTGTTCCAAACAAGATTAAATTTAAGCAACAAATAATAAAAGATAACATTATTGAATTCATTTGTGACCTACAACATTGACCTTTTGTAAAATGAAATTCGTTCATCAAAAGAGGTGATCTTGTGACTTTGATTTTTGTTCGGTCTTTCGTTTAGGTGTTTTGTTCAGGTCTTGGAGAGGCAAGCCTGGTCTCGCCTCAACAAACAACACGCGTGACACCATGACGTATCCAGACCGACACACTTGCCAGGTTTGAAGATCTCAATGACATCAATAGTTGCATGATTTTGGCATGGCATGTTCCCCATGGAATACAGCTTGCGAAATTTTGCTATTTGCATAGCGTTATTGTCTAATATTTTAATCTATTCTTGCAATGATCGAATTTTCGATAAACAAACATGAAAAACAAATAAACAATGCTGATGTTAAACAAGGAAGCAACCTTGAAATTAAATGCGTTAAAAGAAGCACGAAAATAGATGCAATGACTGAATGAGCTTATTCTTCTGAAGGTTTACAGGCTGTTTTGTGGCTTTTGTGGATTTAGGAATCAAAAGCGTTTGCCCACTCGAGGCAAGGCACCAGTGTTTGGTTGGCCAGTGTTACGTCATCAAGTTGAAGTGAAAGCCACCGGAAAATTTTTCGCAAGAATTCTGTGTTCGAAATGTGGGCATTCCCTTTGCTCGACGTTGATTGGCTAGTTATGGATGTCCCCCGATTTGTTTCCTTTTTGATTTGCAGTTTAATCGTAAAATGACGCAACTTGATTGGCTGACTGTAATTTATGCAAGACCAATTTTCTGGAGAACAACAAGCGTGAGGCCTACTCAGTCCGAAGTTCAACTTGCATGTGAGAGCCGTGATTTACAGGCAGAGTGAAGTTGATGGCATGGACAAACCTGGGAATGCAATGAAACCTGAGTATACTGCAGGGAAAATCTGGTGTATAGTTACACAGCCTGATGCGATATGTGTTTCGTTGAAATTGCGTGAAGATGCGAAAGGACAGGATCTTTTAGATGAGGTAACGAAAAATTTAGTTTTCTTTTTTATCAAGGTCAAAGTCCAATCACACAAAAGGCTATATTATGGACAAGGTTTTTGAAGAATTTAGCCTTTTAAAAACTCAGTATATCTTTTGGAATTACATAACAAGATATGTATTGGTTGCATGAAATGTTAAATGATTATCCTCCGAAGTTTCATGAAGAGAAACCGATATCTTGAGGCACTAACTTATTTACTCCAGTGACTTGTGTACCAGCGCGACTTTTCCAAATTGCAACAACCAAACTGCTCTGAACTCGAAAATCATGAACCATATCAACCCCCTTCATCCCTCTTCATTTTTATTGCCTTTTATAGGTTTGTGAAAAGCTGGGCATCGTTGAAGCCGACTATTTTGGACTTCAGTACACAAGTAGTCGTGGAGAGATTTTTTGGCTGAACTTGAGGAACAGAATTTCACGTCAGGTTACCAAACCAGAGCCATACTCATTCTTCTTCAGCGTAAAGTTTTACGTTCAACCGTATCAAGTTATCCAGGGTTCTACAAGGTAAGCCAAAAATCTTCACTTTCACAAAACTTTAGCTTTAGTTTTTTTAAACCATTGTCAATTATGACCCGAATCCAATTAATGAGAATAATGATATCGGTTTTTTCTGTTGATAGGCGACAGTTTTTCCTTAATGGAAAAAGAGATTTGGAAGCTGGAAAGCTCAGGCCAAATAGGGAACAATCAGTAAGGATTCAGGCATTGATAGCTCAAATAACCGATGGAAAATTCAGAGAAAACCATATTGCATATAATCCATCAGTTACCCGTGATTGGCCTAACGATTTTCGAAGCGAAGTGATCATGGAACATTGCAGGCTCGGGGGAATGCCCAAAGAATCGGCAGAATATCGATTTCTCGAAGAATTATCCAAACTTGAGGACTATGGTACTGAATATCATTCCGCTAGAAGTGAAGACAACAAACAGCCAATCCTTATAGGTGTTGGAATCGAAGCTCTAAAAATAGGCAAACAGCAGGAAAACAATGTTGAAAGGTGAGACCCTATTTTTCTTAATCGCCTTCAACAACTTGGCACGATATTTTTGGCAGGGCTTAGAATTTGTCCACTTAATTAAAAAAAACAATATCTTATGCGAGATTCAATCTGTCAGAAATTTCAATACTCAAAGCTTTCCTACAAGCTACAGTTGTCCAACTGGCACAAGCCATGCAAACATGTCGGTATTTCGGTACCTAACAGAATTAAACCCCTCGTCCAAAATAATGATGTTTATATTTGCTTTCATTTACATATTTATATCAATTTATCTTTTGTTAATTTAGATTTTTTCTGCTAGTATTGGTTTCGTCTTCCTGGAGACTTTACCGTGTATTTTGTTTTCTTTAGTAAGTTTAGTGTGGTCTCTCTTATTTGGTGTACTTTGTTTCTTGTTTGTGCACGAAATTTGCATATTGTGTGGAAGGCGAATTTCTAGCGAAATATTTGTATTTTTACCTGCAAAAGCCTTTCTTTTGAAATTTGGCTTGTGTTGTTTATCATGCGCACGTGATCCCCAACTGATCGGACTTTGTTTTTTACTATTATATTTAGATGAAGCTAGAAATTTTCGTTTTATTTCAACTTTCAAAGGATAGATTAGCCAGGAAATGAATAAACCGACCGTCTTTTAAACAGATTATCTATGCTTTGTAATTTTGAGGTTTATGAGACACAATAGTTTGAGCAGATCGCGTCACCATGGAAAACATGTTGCAATCGTTATTAGAACCAGATAGACTAGAAAACCTTAAATTATGTTAATGAACACGCAAATGTTGTTCAGATCTTGAACTTCTTTAGTATGTATATAGTTAGAGATGCGTCCTGCTGTCAATGTATCACTGAAGTTATAGATAGGTTTTAGCCTGCTTTGAATTGGTAGTTGAGATGACAGATTTTGGAACTTATCTTTATGGCTATTATATGAATAGTGCAACAATGTAATTTTTTCAGCATTCAGTTGAGAATGTGAATATCCAAACTCAATAAATATTTATGTGAAGATGAGTTGATATTTAAAGAATAGAGACAGCATGGAATTGGAACAATTGGAACTTTGAAACTCAAATTATCTAAACACCTTCAAAAATGAAATTATATGAATGCGCTACACAAGTTCGAACTTTTAAGCAGCCAGCTACTATACTACTGCAAACTATTATCTAGATAAGTATATATATTAATGCAGGTTAATTTTTGTTTGTTTGGATGCTGGCAAATGACTAAAAAGTGCTTTAACAACAATAAACTGTGACAACAATAATTTATTATTAACTTACAAACAGTAAGAATGATTTTACATTGAAGTACATTTGTGTAACAAAGAAGAAAAGGGTTTAGGGGTTTAGGGGTACTCATGGAAAAATTTGAAGCCCCTTAGTAATAATTATTTGCTACACCATTTGTGCACACTGATGCTTAAACTTTTTATCAATTTCCCTTTAGCCTGCCATACAGCTGTTTGCACATGGCAACACACAATGGTAGATGTGTTAAGTTGGATGTTTACTCGAACGAGCAGCGGGACACTGATGCAATCGTGTACAGGCTAAGCAGTAAAGAGGCAGCGTGTGCACTCTACAGGTCTATAACAGAACACCATGCTTTCTTCAGATGTGACAGTATTGGCACTGCTGTTAAGGAACAGGTTTCAAATGACATTTTCGATACTTTCAAGAATTTCTTCTATGAAGAAAGTGCTGAACAAAATTACATTTTTGATACTGTAAGGACTTGTAGAGAGGCGTATGATCATGCTAGAAGGATTCTCTTTAATTTTGGGTCATCAACTGCACAATCAATGGATAAAAATAAGCATGAAGATACCTCTGATGAGGAAAATGGGGATTTATCAAAGACAAATTCAACTGAGCTACAGGAAAAACTGGACTGTCTCGTAGAATCCTGTTTGTGCCAAGCTTGCAGGGACAAACCAATAAACACAGCTTTTCAGTGTGGACATATGTTTGGGTGCAGTGATTGTGTCACCAAACTAACTCATTGTCCTTTATGTCGTGCAGAAATCAAAACTGTTATTCCAGTTTTCTTGCCTGTAGAGTTAGATTTTGATCGGTAGGGTTTTTATGCAGATGGGAAGGGTCGTCACTGGGTTTTTTTTACAACTGTGTATTTCAGATAGATTGGTCAAATCAAAGCATGAATACCATTTTGACTTAAGCTTTTTCTTTCAGCCATCATGACTGAAATATAAAACATGCACAATTGTTGATTTTGATGTTTTATGACGCATATTTCGGTGATTTTGGAACAACTACAATTAGTACTTTATAAAAACCTGCAACCACTTTGTTTAGTTGTGTACTTTACTTTGATTTGACTATTGTTGTTGTTATATATGTTTATAAGTATACACATTTACCTCCTACACACAAATGTATAGACACATGCTCACATATTAATAAGCTTACGTATTAATAAGCTTACGTAAAAGGTTACCACATACAGATATTTAGGCCTTCTTATATCACTGCATTGTCCTAACAGGAAATTTATGTTCCACAACAAATTGTTCAGTAGCTGGGGTTTTGCAAACAGCACGTTTATTATAGAGGTTTAAAGCATTTTGTTATTTTTGTTGTTCACAAATGGTTAATGTTTGGGACTATCACAAATTTATTATATATCATTCACCAGCCTGTCTTAGTAACTCCATTGATTGCATATTCTCTTTTATTCAACAACATTATGGTCGTTTTCCTAACCCTGCTACTTTTAATGTATTTATAAGGTCTCTGGAATCATTTTGGCATCTACACGTCTTGACCATAAGCTGTTTTGATATTTTATACGCCCAGGTAGTTGAATTGTTTAGTTGTTGTGTTGCTTGATTGTGATGCTGGCTTCACACCTAGACCAACTGGCGTTCTCCGAAACAAGCCGTACCCCAGTTCGCATTGTTTACAAGTGTATTCGTTTATATCAATAACGAAGTATCGCGTAACTTGTCTGCTTATGGATGTACTCGCTCAGTATGTCTGTGAGCTCATCGAAAACATTCAGGCCTAGATTAAAGATTATGGGAGCAAGGTCACTTGTTGCAGCCAGAAGATTACGAGATTCAAACAAGACTTTAATATATTTTCGTGAAACTCTTATTCATGCCGATTCTGAGCTCTCTATGGGGCGTTGCATAGATTCTTTTTACAACAAATATGTTGAATCATTTTGAAACCAAATGATCGCGGCCATTCAAGTACCATGAATAGAGCGAGTTTCCCCGTAATCAGCTGATTTGCATCAACACAGGCCGTAGCATAGCAAACGGTTTATCATCGCCACTATATTTTGAGATAACTTCGAGATGTTTCTTTTTAATTATGGTTCGTTTTACATTGTATCTTATTTACATTTTTGCGTTAAAACCACTGTATATATATATTAATTAGTATTTGCGCTCTTATTTGAAATATATTATTAAACACATTTACAAAATTTTGCCGTATTTTTTAATTTGCTCATTCTATATCTGAGAACCTCGTCTGAATTGTTCATTCAAATTAAATTCCCATCCACCACTCCTGGAATATAACACAGTCAAGAAATCTTCCGTTCCCTTGGTTAAGCTCACCTTAATACCAGCGCCCAGATTTTGCTTAAAACAATTTTTGCCATTGAAAAGAGGGGCGCGTCTCTTTGAAAACGTCGGGAGCCAATCAATTCCTGATCGTCCCGGGAGTGGTTAATGCTTTTAATTCTGTTTTTCTTCTGATAAACTCTTTCGGGAGCGCCGCCTAACGGAATATAATGACAGCTAAAAGGGGATGTAATGCTGCTCAATATTAGTTCGAAAGTTTGACATTGAAGTTTGATCTAGGGTAAAGTACCCTGTCGCAAGTTAAATTAAGTGCCAGAAAATTCGGTGCCACAATTTTCAGTGGATTAATTTTCGGTGGAAAAAATTTCGGTCATTTTTTAAATGTTGGTGTATATTTCGGTGAAACTTGAAAATTTTCGGGGAGAAAAAATATTTCGGTGATTCTGCGAATAAAGAAATGAAATTCCTTCTGCAAGTTATTTCTATTTTCAACATAAAATCATCTGGAAAGCAATCATGAAAGTTACAAAATCAAGTATTTTGATGTCAACCCAAAAAATGAAAAAACGAAGCTGACATTTAGAGGACGTCCTTTTTATTTCACTTTTCTAACCCACGGAGGAAGATTAAGTGGAAGCTTTTACAGTTCACCATATTTTCGATCGCCAATCGCAACTAGGGGGTCAGAGAGTCGTTAAAAATTGAGGCGTCCAAATTGAAACTGCTGGAACGTTGGAAAAAATAATTGAGAGAAATTATGATTTGCTAATAGAAGTTCAGCCGATAGAGAACTCAAATTCATTGAATGTAGAGGGCGAGGTAAGAGAAGAAAGTGAAGATGAGATGGATGTCTTGATTGCTGATGACAAAGAAGAACCAGAGAGTGAAATTGATATGTACTGGATGCATAGTAATACTAAAATAATATCAAGGAAAACAAATTTTTGGTATTTTGAGAGGGTACCGGTCTAAAACCCCAGGGGGGCACTCTGCACATAGACATACGGGAGGGGGGGGGGGTAAGTCCAAGAAATTTGAAGGCCACCCAAAAATATCAGCTCATTTTCAATAAGACCCAAAAATATCAGTTTTACTTATATCTTGTACCCAAAAATATCACAAATTGGAATTTTGGGTGAGATAATATGACATAGCTGTAATTTATAAGATCTGCAATTCAAAAAGCCGTAAATAGTTGCAGTTGCCATTACCACACATGGAGCAAATGTTCAATTTGGATATTCACAACAATTGAAACTGAGAATATCTAGTATCACATCATATATCATATCATATCACTTCATATCATAACATATATCATATAAAATAATATCATATAAAATAATAATATGAACACTTTTGAAAAGTGGATTCCCAGATGACTGAAAAAGCAAATGTGAGCTGTTATTTGATGTATATAATTTCAAAAAAATTCCTTGAAAATTTATGATGATAATGAATAACTTCAATTAGAAGGGCACATCTTGCCCCCGCTGCATCTGTTGGCAGAGGGCAGGGGGCGATTGCCCCTGTTGCCCCAATGCTGCAGGTGTCCTTGATGTTTTCAGTCCCTTGGTAAGACATCGTTTGACTTCTCTAGCATATTTCGTGCCATATAAAGTTTACAGTGAGTACAAAAAGTAGCATTAAAACTTCCAAAGAGTATGGTAACATGACTCCCGACGTGACTTGAAGTGGGTAAAATAAACCTCAGCGAATTAGATCCATGAACAATACATTTGATTCGGATATGGAAATCTCACGAATACCCAAAAATATCAGTGTTTCTAAATTTGATACCTAGAAATATCAGAATTGTATCTACTATTTTCGCAGGACCCAAAAAATATCACTTTTGGCAAACATTTGACCAAAAAATATCGGACTGACCCCCCCGTATGTCTGTGTGCCAAGTGCACCCCCTGGGTCTAAAACGAGATTTTTCTAGCGTTTATAAATTTCGCTAGGAAAGTATTTTGGTTTCAATAGAGTTCGAAGGGATTAATTTTCGGTTGCCCTGCTTCACCGAAAATGAATCCCACCGAAAATTTTGGTACTTAATTTATTTTCCTGAAGAAACTCCCTCCCTTCTTTTCAGGCATTATGCTTGTTTTTCATACCCGTTATCCCATGCATTCAACGACTCAACGACTGTGTAATTTTCTATACAAACAAGTCGTTATTTTTATTAATCAAATGTAAATACTGGTCAGAGGTTTGCCATATTTTTATATTTCTTAAACCACCGAATGACTCAGAGGTCCACTTCATTGACTCATCCACAAGGTGTTTTGATCCATTTTGTTTTTCTTTATTTCCCTAATTGCTGAAAGAGCCAAGGAAAGAATCGAAAGTGAAAGTGTATAGTCCTGTTATTACGAGCAAAGCAGAAAATAGAGGCATGTGTTCCATCCACACTTATAATGGCAGGCCAGAAGAGTAACCAACTCAAAAAAAACTGCGCATAAAAAGTACACTGCAAAAATTAATTTTGAAATATTTCTTGCATAATTTTTGACATCTGGTTCTACACTGTGCAGTAATCTCTTCAAAATTTGTTTGTTTCTTAGGGTGTTAATAGTAGCTAAACACTTGCAAACTAATAGAAGATAATATTTTGCTCCTAGTACAGAGCTTCATCAGAGCAAAAATGAATATTTTATAGATATACTGTTAATAAAATATTATACATTAAGGCAAATAAATATAAAAGTATTGAAAGACTTTCAAAAATTGCATGGGTAGAGCACGTTAGAAGGTAGTTTTTTCTATCATGTTTAGATAAATTTTAACCATTTGTTCTAATTTATTCTAGACTATGTAAATTTTTCTTTTATTCTAGATGCATGGCCCCTTGTAAACCGGCATTGCTGAATGGGCAACCATGCTTGGATGCTTGAAAATGTAATATATATGTAATGAAAATTTCAATAGAATGCCAAAACTTAAAAATTTTAAATCTAACCTTCACGAGGGGAATATTAAATTCAAATGGGTGAATAGAGGGCGCATATACATGAGTTGTAGGGATGTTTAAATTTCTGCCTCTGTAACAGGTTCTAAGTCTTATTTACAAAAGCCGTTATTGTTTTCAGGTTTTTTATAAAATTTTATCTTCCTAGTGTAAAGTGAGATTAACTTATATCGAGAAAATGAAACATGGAGTTCTTAATTTTATTATGTTTTTACTCATATGTTTGGTAACATTTTGTTGCTGTACGGTCTACACTAAACGATTAAGCTTTTGACATGTTTTATTCGGCCTAAATATACTGTTCATAGAACCCATGCCTTGCAATTTGATCCAATTCATTAACATCAAATCTTTGATTATAAGATACATATTTGTTAGTCAGATGCATATTGTTTGAAACAAAACTAGTTAGCTTGGAACACACGGAAAAACTCAGCCGAGCCATCGAGCCTTGTGATCCTTGCTTAATTATGTTTTAAATGGTTTCAAATGTAAAAAAAATTAAACGACTGTAAGAGATTATACTAACATCACCAATATGGCGCGTTTATCTGGAGACTAGGGTTTTCGTGCCCGAGGGTCTGAGGACATGTCAACTTGTTCTATGCTTTTGCTAAGCCATCCAGTCCTTTCGGTAGCTATGATGCTACTACCGACTACAAGAAATGCTTTTTACCGAATGGAAACAAAATTTACCGATGGAAACAAAAATATTGGGGGGGGGGGGGGGGTGTCAATCATGAATCGGTCCGAGGTTATCAAGAGTGCAATCCAATCCCCCCATACCCCACGGAAAATCCATCCCTGATTAAACAAGGGAATGGAATTTATTCGATTACTAAGGTAGCGTTGCGGTCTTTATTAGCACCAATAATTAAATGAAAATATTTTATCATAGTGCAACCATGAGACTGTTTACACAATACGCTAGCTGTTCATGTAAAATATTTTTTGGACTTAATTGCACGTTTAGATATTTGCAGACGGGACATCAAATGATTCGACATTACCAACAACATTTAGTACCAAAAATTTTGATGGGATTTATTTCGGTGAAGCAGGGCAACTAAGTTTTTTTGACGCCGAAACATTTTCTTACCGGAGTTTTCAAACGCTAGAAAAATCTCGTTTAACACTGATGGATTTTCAAACAAACAAAAGTATTTTTTGTTGATACTATTTGAGTACTATCATACATCCAATACCTATCAATTTTCAGTTTCTGGTTCTCCTTTGTTATCAACCACCAAAATAATCAGCACATCTTCACTTTCTTCTCTTTTACCCTTTACATACAAATAATTTGAGTTCCCTATTGGCTGAACCGATGCTTCTACTGGCTCCTCAAAATTTTTAACACACAATCTATCAGAATTTCAAATCCCCTCGTTGCGATTGGCAATCGACGCTTCGAATCCATTTTCCTCCATGATTTTAAAAAATGAAACAAAAAGACCTCTTCTAAATAAGAGTTTATGACATTTTTGCATTCTCTTCAGTTCCATTTTTTGGGCTGACATCAAAATAATCGATTTTGCAACTTTTATGCTTGCGTTTCAGATAATTTTATCTCGAAGACAGAAATAACTTACAGAAAGTGTTTTCATTTCTTTACTTGACAAAAATTTTTCTTTTCATCGAAATTGACACCGAAATTTTCCCGCCGAAAATTTATCCACCGAATTTTTTGGCACCAAATTTTTTGGTACTTAATGTATGTTCTTACCTGAGTTGACATTTCACTCTTGAATTAACTTGCTGAATGCCTGTGATATGACTACCTTCCTGCTTATGAGGCGATACAGAATTTATTAGCTAAAAGGGAACTGGAATTTTGCTTAAGGGAGCAAAGAACTTTGAGAAGCCACCGAGAAAAGGTACAATTGCTCCTGGCCCTATCAAGACATGGTCTCAACAGCTTCT